TTTTATGCGATTACCGAAAAACGCAATATTCAAAATTTAAATTCCAACTCTCTCCCTCTCTCTCTCTTTTGTTCTCTCAATATTTTTGATGAGTAGGATTTTTAAAAATAGCCACAATATTTTGCCGGCACACATCTTCCGTTTGGTAGACATGGGATGGCCGGCCGTTACAAACATTGGCATCTCTTTTGTATTTTTGAATTTCCTGTTCTTTGGAGAGTTTGATGATGACTAGCCCTACGGAGTCTAGGAAATATTTTTCGAAATTTTGTTATTTTATTTGCAACAGAGATATAATTTGTGCTCTCTCGCCCTCTCTCTCTTTTAACTTTTAGATTAGAACATGCAACCAAGAACTTGATGTTTTGTTTGTAGATTATTTTTTTGAAGTTTTGTAGCCTCACGCGTGGGATTGCACAGTGGGACAATAAAAAAATAATAAAAATGGCCTAATTTTTTTTTTTTTTTTTTTTTGGAAAAAATACATATGTCAAGGGTTTTAAGTAATTTTTATAGAAAAATTTCCGAAAAATTAAATTACACTGTGCAACGAAAAAAAAATTAAAAATTAATTAAAATTAAAAAAAAAAACAGGAGATCATGAAAGTAGAGCAAAAAAATAGAAAACAGATGTATGGGGCTTTCGACAGCTTAGATCGCAAAGTAATCAAACCAGTAAAGAAAGTCCTAAAGTCGGGCGGGGCCGATTTTATGATACCCTACACCACTTTGCTAATTTAGTTGAGCTCCACTTGATAATTAAAAGTTTTTATGGGAGAATTCAATCATACACAATATGGTTATAATTATAATTTAAAATTCAAAGGACTAAATATGCCGAAGCATTTGTATCTTTTAAATTCGGACTTGTATTGCCCATTTGGTGCGAAATTAATTTGAAATCGGATAAAAATATATATGGGAACTATATCCAAATCTGAACCGATCTCGATAAAATTTGGCAAAGATATTTCTGAGCTGTATTTGATATATTTCCCTGAATATCGTTGTTACGGAGTGCATATTACGGCTGTGGGTAACAAATACAATAAATCGGATGAACAATATATATGGGAGCTATAACTATATCTGAACCGATCTTCACCAAATTTGGCATACTACCTTCTAGACTAAATTCGGTCGTATGTGCCAAATTCCATCCCATTTGGACAAATATTAGACGTTTGGTGCACAATAAATGGTAAATCGGACGAAGTTATATATGGGAGCTATATCCAAATCTGAACCGATCTCGATAAAATTTAGCAAAGATATTTCTGAGCTGCATTTGATATATTTCCCCAAATATTGTTGTTACAGAGTGCATATTACGGCTGCGGAGGACAAAAATAACAAATCGGATGAACAATATATATGGGAGCTATAGCTATATCTGAACCGATTTCGATAAAATTTGGCATACTTATTTTCAGGCCTAATTTGGTTGTATGTGCAAAATTCCCTACTATTCGAGCTGATATTACACGTTTGGTGCACAATAAAAGGCAAATCGGACGAAGATATATATGGGAGCCATATCTAAATTTTTACCGATTATCTCCAATTTCAATAGGGTTCGTCCTTGGGCCAAACAAATGTTGTTTGCAAAATTTCATCTCAATCGGATAATAAATGCGACCTGCATTTTGTTCACAAGAATACATGGACAGACGGACGGACGGACGGACGGACAGACGGACTGACATGCATAAATCAACTCAGAAAGTGATTCTATGCAGATCATCAAAAGAACTATGGGTCTATCTCGTTTCCTTTTGCCTGTTACAAACAAATGCACAAAGACATAATACCCTGACCACTTTGTGGTGTAGGGTATAAAAAGGGGACAACTACAAAATGGATCTTTTTGGTCCTTTTTTAACATTTAGTTAAAAGCTCCCTTTAAACGGGATCGTAAAAAGTGAAAATAGTAGAGAGGTCCCAGAAAGCATCAATAGTTACAAGCTTACCTAAATGTCAAAAATTCATAAATATTAAAACTCGTTTTAGGGTTAATGCCGTACTTTATTTGATAAACTGATGAAAATAGCAAAAAATGTCGGAAATAGCATCAAATTTTAGAATAAGTTTAGATTTGTTCGAATTGGTCACCTTTGGCACGAATGATGGCCTTCAAACGGCCAAGGAAACCATCACACACTGCCCTAATGTTGCTCTGCAGTATTTTGGCCCATTCCCGGCGAAGCACTTGCTTGAGATGATCGACACTTTGGTATTTTTTAGTGCCAACCTTGCTTTCCAAAATACTCCAGACACAATAGTCCAACGGAATGGTATCCGGAGATTTTGGTGGCCATTGTGCCCTGGAATTTGGAAGCGAGGAATCTCATTCTGTAACCATTCTTGGGTGGCGCGTGCTGAGTGCGATGGTGCTGAGTGCTGAGTCCTGTTGGAATGTCCAAGGTCTGCGGTCAAAATGTTTGCGTGCTTAAGGCTTTAATACACCCTCCAGAATATTTTCGCGGTCGATTAATACGAGCGGAGAGCGACCATCGGCTGTTATGGCGGCCCACACAATCACCATGGACGGCGCCGACGCTTGAGTTCTGGTGGCCAACCGAAGGTACACATTTTCAGCTGACCTCTTTGGCAAATAAACACGATCATTTTGTTTGTTATTACAACGTACCGGATTTAGACTATATCGACTTCCTGCTATACAATTTTTTTCTCTGTGCAAATTTTTGGAAAATGTGGAAATATGCCTAAGGTAACAGATATAGCGGACCGAAGTATTCCATTTTCAGACTTCATCTAATGCAGAGGTACCAAGACCATTATATCCCAATTTCACACCAGACCTAGGGTTAATAAAAATATTGTGATGTGTGTAATTTGAAGAGAACCGGATGTTAATTTCGGATTTTTTTTATCGTTTTGGTTATTCAAAATTTTGACCCTTTGTGTGGGAGGTACCAGAAGAAATGGTCCGATCTCTCCCATCCTTATAACAAATCTTGTGTTGATAGAAATATTGAGATGTGCCATGTCTGAATGGAATCGGATGTTAATTTTGGTGTTTTATGAGCTTCATGAAAATTCAAAATTTTGACCCTTTGTGGGGGAGGTACCAGAAGGAGTGGGCCGATATATTCCATCTTCTCACTACACCTTGGCTTAATAAAACTATTGAGATGTGTGTAATTTGCATATGATCGGAATCTTACATCACATTTTATAAGAGTTATAATTTTATAAGTACTGGATGGAGTGGACCAATATTGTCCATTTCCGCACCAGACCTAGCACTGATACAGATATTAGGATTTGCAAAGTTGGAGCAAAATCCGATTATGCTTTCTCCTTCTGTGCAGTAAATTATTTTCTTTGAACATTTTGACATTTTGTGGGGGAGATTGCAGAATGAGTGGACCGATATTGCCCATCTCCGGACAGCAGAAAAATTCAAAATACCGAAAATCGGAAGGTACCGTTAATGGTGGCTATAGGACTGGACCTACCGAGAACCCCAAATGTCAAGTTTCAGCTGATTTAGTTGGAAATTGTGGCAGAAGCCTTCACCGAAATAGGTAGATACCATTAGAGGGGGGCTATACCAATTAGTGGACATGTAGCGAACATTTTCTGCAAGGATGGTATAGACATTTCAAGAACCCCAAATGTCTAGTTTCATCTAATTTGGTTGGAAATTGTGGCAGAAACCCTCAAAATATCGAATATCGGAAAGTACCAATATATGGGGGCTATAGCAATTAGTGGTCCGAAGTCGAAAAATTTTTGCAAGGAAATTTACAGACCTATCGAGAACCCCAATTCGCAAGTTTCTTCTAATTTTGTTGGAAATTGTGGCAGAAGCCTTCAAAATACTGAAAACCGGTAGATACCATTAGAGGGGGGCTATACCAATTAGTGGACCTGTAGCGAACATTTTCTGCAAGGATGGTACAGACATTTCAAGAACCCCAAATGTCAAGATTCAGCTCATTTGGTTGGAAATTGTTGCGGAAACTTTTAAAATTCCGAAAATCGGGAGGTACAGTTATGTAGGTGCTATACAAATTAGTGGATCTGTAGCGTACATTTTATGTAGGAAGTTAACAGACCTATCGAGAACCCCAATTCGCAAGTTTCATCTAATTTGGTTGGAAATTGTGGCAGAAACCTTCAAAAATACCGAAAATCGGGAGGTACCGCTGTATGGGCGCTATACCTATTGGTAGACCTTTAGCATACGTTTTTTGCAAGGAGAGAACATATCTTCCAAAAAACCCAAATGTCAAGTTTCATCTAATTTGGTTGGAAATTGTGGCAGAAACCTTCAAAATACCGAAAATCGGGAGGTACCGCTATTTGGCGGCTATACTAATTAGTGAACCTGTAGCGAACGTTTTTTTTTTTTTTTTTCAAGGAGAGAACGGAACTACCGAAGGCCTCAATTCTTAAGTTTCATCTAATTTGGTTGAAAATTGTGACAGAAAACTTTAAAATGCCGAGAATCCAGAGGTACTGTTACATGGGGGCTATACCAATTAGTGGACCTGTAGCGAACATTTTTTGCAAGTAGAGAACAGACCTACCGAGTACCCCAAATGCCAAGTTTCAGCTGATTTGGTTGGAAATTTTGGAAAAAAAAAAAACCTCAAAATACCGAAAATCGGGAGGCACCGTTATATGGAGGCTATGCCAATTAGTAAACCTCTAGCGAACATTTTTTTTTTCTAAAACCTCAAATGTCAAGTTTCAGCTAATTTGATTGCAAAATTGTGGCAGAAACCTTCAAAATACCGAAAATCGGCAGGTTCCGTTATAAGGGGGCTATAGCAATTAGTGAACCTGTAGCGAACATTTCTCGCAAGGATAAAACAGACCTACCAAGAACCCCGAATTTTCAAGTTTCACCTAATTTCCGTGACCCCTTGTTTTCCACATGAAGTCCTTGTATACCGATTACCCCATAGGACCATTTCCAAAATGTTTTGAAAATTTTCTTCGCCTTCGATATTTAAAACAGCATTCGAAACTCTTGCAATTGTTAATTTATTTTACAATATTTCATAATTAGTAATAATTAGTAATAAACCGCTCTGTTTAATCAAAATTTGGGAATTTTCGTTTCGTATTTTTATCGTATCTCTAAAATAAGTCCAGCATGCCTCTATTCCTCAGCTCGATCGATCAAATTATTATAATTTTTTGCGTCCAATCACCATTAAGAATTTTTGGAAATTCAACAATTTTAGGCTTTCAGCTCCTAAAGATTTTCACTTTCATCCAATTTCTCCCCATCCTGGCCCATGAGACGATTGGCTTCTTGCAGTTGTTGCTGTTGGCGTTGACGATTCTTTTGACGGAATATCTCTTTGCTGGCCTCCTTAATGGCCTCATAGATCTTGGCCTGCGACATGATTTGTTTTTGGACATTTTCCACGGCCGGTTCGGCATTTATGTCAATCAAATCGGATAGGCCCTCGGAAACGTAGTCGTTGTTGGCGAAGGAGCTTTTATCGTCGATGTCGTTGCGTTTTATCACCGGATAGGAGGGTGGATGGGAGGAGGTTCGTTTCTTGCCACAGCCTGTAAAAAGAGCAAAGGAATTTCATGGCTTATAGTCTATTGTGGCTCGCCGAACTTACCCGTAAAGGCATTGCAAAATGGACGCTTTTCATATTTCCACTGGATAATGCCGCTCAGCTTGTGCTGCTGGTGAATTCACCAAAAAAAAATTAAAACATTTTATTAAAATCTCAATTTACTTGCAGCCCCAACCTTACATTATTCAAATTCACCTCGGCCTGGGTCACATCGAACCACAGATACAGGGTAAACAGGCCAACCAACAAAAATCCATTCCAAGACATTTTGAAAACTTTTCTTTTATTTTTCAAAAAATTCCAAATATATTTAGTATTCTCCTTAGCTCAAAACTGACCACCTTTCGCCACAACGTCCAAACGCCGTTTAAGTGAAAACTCGGAAAATCACTGCATCTTATTACTTCAGGAATAGCTCTGCAGCCGGGCTCCTTTTGCTGCCCGCTCAACACACTGACCTTTTACACAGCGCACAGCTGCATAAATGCTTCGACCAACAACGCTTTGGTCGATTGGCCGATCTCCTGCCGGGCGTTTAAAGTGTTTTGGTGGTCATTTTGGTTGGTGGTAATTGATTTTTGTGTTTTCCACGGAGTTTTTCTTCATTCTCTGTTTCTCCGTTTTAGCCTTGGGTTGGCAGTGCACATAACGCCAATAATCTTGACCTCCCCCCACCACCACCACCTCACACAATATTTCGGTTTGGTTGTTGGTCATGGTGTTCCTGTTAATGTCCTGTATTATTAATAGGATATTTCTTATCATAGGTCAAATTGTGGCTGGTTTAAAGTCAGATTTCAATAATTCAATTTTAATAATTTTTTGTAAGGACTTATTCCTAAATAACAACTTTCCCCAGGGAAAAGTTGTTATCGACAACCTTTCTTCATAGAAAAGAGGCTATCGTTTAATCTTCTCTATAAAAAAAGCAGTTATCGACAACCTTTCTCCATAGAAAAGTTGTTATCGACAATCTTTCTCCATAGAAAAGTTGTTATCGACAACTTTTCCCCTTAGAAAAGTTTTTATCGACAACTTTTCTCGATAGAAAAGTATTTATGGACAACTTTCTCCATAGAAAAGTTGTTGTCGACAACCTTTCTCCATAGAAAAAATGTTATCGACAACTTTTCTCCATAGGAAAGTTGTTATCGACAACTTTTCTCGATAGAAAAGTATTTATGGACAACTTTTCTCCATAGAAAAGTTGTTATCGACAACTTTCCTCGATAGAAAAGTATTTATGGACAACCTTTCTCCATAGAAAAGTTGTTATCGACAACCTTTCTCCATAGAAAAGTTGTTATCGACAACTTTCCTCCATAGAAAAGTTGTTATCGACAACCTTTCTCCATTGAAAAGTTGTTATCGACAATCTTTCTCCATAGAAAAGTTGTTATCGACAACTTTTCCCCTTAGAAAAGTTTTTATCGACAACTTTTCTCGATAGAAAAGTATTTATGGACAACTTTTCTCCATAGAAAAGTTGTTATCGACAACTTTCCTCCATAGAAAAGTTATTATCGACAACTTTCCTCCATAGAAAAGTTGTTATCGACAACTTTCCTCCATAGAAAAGTTGTTATCGACAACCTTTCTCCATAGAAAAAATGTTATCGACAACCTTTCTCGATAGAAAAGTTGTTATCGACAACTTTTCCCCATAGAAAAATTGTTATCGACAACTTTCCTCCACAGACAAGTTGTTATCGACAACTTTGCTCCATAGAAAAGTTGTTATCGAAAACTTTTTTCCATAGAAAAGTTGTTATCGACAACTTTTCTCCACAGAAAAGTTGTTATCGACAACTTTTCTCCACAGAAAAGTTGTTATCGACAACTTTTCTCCATATAAAAGTTGTTATCGATGTTGCATAAAAAAGTTGTTATCGACAACATTTCTCCATAGAAAGGTTGTTATCGACAACTTTTCCCCGTAGAAATTTTGTTGTCGACAACTGTTCTCCATAGAAAAGTTGTTATCGAAAACTTTTCTCCACCGAAAAGTTGTTATCGATAACTTTTCTCCATTCAAAAGTTGTTATGAAAAACTTTTCTCCACAGAAATTTGTTATCGCCACTTCTCTAGATAGAAAATTTGTTATCGACAACATTTCTCCATAGAAAACTTGTTATCAAAAAAATTTCTGTATACTTAAGTTGTTATCGACAAGTTTTTATGGTTTCTAGGCAACTTTATTAGTTCGCATTTTTGTTTATTTAACAAAATAATTTTTCAGTTAAAAAATATGGTAATTATTTTATTTAATTTAACCTCTTTTACGGCGCAGCATCATTTTAGCGTAGACCAAGGAATTGTGGTGACCCGTAAACGAATACCAATCCACACCTTTGGCGTAGCTCTTGTCGCCATAATGACCATTTAAATTGCTGAAAATCAATTAAAATATTGAAAAAATATCTTATTTTCTAAAATATGTGATCTGTTCCAGAATCTGCAAGAAACAGCTATATTTGCATTTTTTTTTTGAAAAAAAAATCAGCTGTAAAAAATTAAATTCTGGAACATACCAATTATGTATAACAAGAGTTTCATTTACAAACCTTGAGTGACATTTTGTGTACCACCAGGCACCCATGTATAAGACGGCGCAATTTCCCTCCGCATGTACATCATTGTCCTGATCTTTTGTTGAGAATTTTGCACCGATGTGCCCTTTCAAGGAATCCCCCGCGGTTCCGGTATATTGTCCAGTTCGTATCAGTTTGTATTTTTCCACTTCATTGGCTATCCGGAAACTATCATATTTAGCATAACCCTTAGCTTCATTTGTGCCATTCACCATTAGAATCAACAGCTCCTGAGGTCCCTGGTAATTTGTCAGGGCAAATAGTTTATCCATGCCAATGAAAAATTCTCCATCAACCTCGCCGAATCCGACTTTATATTCGGCCCATGTCCTGTAGAAATCCGTAGAGCCATCTTCACGTCTTTGTATTACCGTCCAGTCACCGCCTTCCGTATGGGCGTCACATTCGACGAGAAAACTTTCATTGTTGTACTGTGGAATGCGTATGTAGTAGTAGCCACTGCGTTCCGTGCAGGCAGTGATTTCGGCACACGACGAATATGGACCATGAGTTTGGCTAAAGTGGGGGAAAATTTTTGAAATTCTGTTTTCAATGAAAATTTTTATTGACATTTTTTTAAATAAAAATATTTTTATCGATAAATGTTCTTCATAGAAATGATTTTTATCGACGGTTTTTTTACGGATACGTTTATATGGACAACAATTTTATATAGAGAAGTTGTTGTCGCCAGCTTTTCCTAAGAGAAATATTGTTATCCACAACTTCTCTCCACAGAAAAGTTGTTATCGATAACTTTTCTCCATTGAAACGTTGTCATCGACAACTTTTCTCCATAGAAAAGCTGTTATCGACAACTTTTCTTCATAGAAAAGCCGTTATCGACATCTTTTCTCTATAGAAAAGTTGTTATCTGCATCCTATCTTCACAGAAAAGTTGTTATCGACAACCTCTCTCCATAGAAAAGTTGCTATCGACAACCTTTCTTTATAGAATAGTTCTTATCGACAACTTTTCTCCATAGAATCAACAACTTTTTCTCCAGAGAAATGTAGTTATCGCCAAACTTTTCTCCAAAGAAAAGTCATTATCGACAACTTTTCTCCATAGAAAAGTTGTTATTGCCAACCTTTCTCCATAGAAAAGTTGTTATCGACAACTTTTCTCTATAGAAAAGTTGTTATCGACAAATTTTCTCCATAAAAAAGTCATTATCGACAACTTTTGCTCCATAGAAAATTTGTTATCGACAACTTTTCTCCATAGAAAAGTTGTTATCGACAACCTTTCTTTATAGAATAGTTCTTATAGGCAACCTATTTCCATAGAAAGTTGTTATCGACAACTCTTCTCCATAGAAAAGTTGTTATCGCGAAATTTTTCTCCACAGAAAAGTTGTTATCGCCAAACATTTCTTCACAGAAAAGTTGTTATCGCCAACATTTCTCCAGAGAATAATAGTTATCGCCAACTTTTCTCCATAGAATAGTAGTTATCGCCAACTTTTCTCCACAGAATAGTAGTTATCGACAACTTTTCTCCACAGAATAGTAGTTATTGACAACTTTTTTCTTTTCTCCATAGAAAAGTTGTTATCGACAACTATTCTCCATAGAAAAGTTGTTGACGACAACTTTTCACCATAGAAAAGTTGCTATCGACAACTTTTCTCCATAGAAAAGTTGCTATCGACAACTTTTCTCCATAGAAAAGTTGCTATCGACAACTTTTCTCCATAGAAAAGTTGTTATCGACAACAACAAGTTGTTATCGACAACTTTTCTCCATAGAAAAGTTGTTATCGACAACCTGTTTATGTATAAAAGTTCTTATCGACAACAATATTCTATAGAAAAGTTGTTGTCGACAACCTGTTTATGTATAAAAGTTCTTATCGATTACTTTTCTCTATGGAAGTGATGTCAGTCACTATTTTTCTCATTTAGTCGACGAATTCCTTTTTCGCGCCTTTTCTAAATATGTATATTTCCCTGTGGGAATTTGCCAATTTCATACCATTTGTAGGGCAATGAATCAACACGAATATCGAACATAGGCAAATCTGAAAGAAATATTAAATTTTACTTGGAATTTGTTATACCCAAGGCACATGAAGCTGTATACCTTTGGCTGTGTGTTTGCTGGAAGAACAAAATAAAATGAAAAGTTAATGTCGTCTCTCAAATCAAAGTGATTTAAAATGAGAATACCTTAAGTTGATGGAGCCTATGGCATTTTTAATATCATCTATGTCCCTTAGCATTTTTTTGGTGTCGTCCCATCCATAGAGACCCTGTAAAGCGATGAAGATCTAAATGTAAAATTTTGAAGAAAGTTAGGGGCTATTTGAAACTTACATTATTTCCTACATTATCTTCACACCGCATAGCAATCGCCGCCGCCACAATGCAAATTATGACGAAAATTATTTGAATGAAAAAACTTGGTTTAGCCATTTTTAAAGCGTTAGTTTTTTTTTTTTGTGTTTTTTAGTCGACATTTGATAAACAACTGTCCAAGGATTTGGGAAAGTATTCGTATTTATATTAATTTTTAAAAAAGGTTCTTGTATTATCAACACCAAATGGTGGTTTTGCAATGGGGAACTCCATGCCACACCTCAAAATTCTAATTAAGTTTGCCAAATATTGTGGAAATTTATGTATGTATTTTAGCATTATCTACGCTGCTATCAATACTAATTATAATAAACACCACTGGGGGCTAAAACGAGGAGAACGGGGATTTTTTTTAAATTGGTGTTTCATAGAACGTATGCATAAAAGGGATTTTTCATAAAGCTGTATTTTAATCGAAATCCACTCACAACTTGCATTCCGTATTAAAAAGTACAACATGAATGGAATTTCGACGAAATTTAAGCTATAGACGAGCCACCGACTTATATAGGCTATCATCCACGGGCAATAGACAATATATCGTCGATCTTTCAATAAGCCTTTTTTGGGTACTAGGGGATTTCACTGTATGTATATATTATGGTACGGAATTTTTATTGAGCGATGAAAAAGTGTAACATTGTAAGAGAATGGTGAGACAAGCTACTGAATACAAAAAATATTTATGTTCGAGGAAGGCTTAGGTAAGAAATCATCTATTTGAAATGGGTGTCAATGAGTTTGAAATGAGAGAAGTTGTCGAGTCCTACATTTCTAAAAAGATATATTGTCGATAACAACATTTCTATAGAGAAAAATTTTCGATAAAAACTTATCAATAGCGAAAAGTTGTAGAGATAGAGATATGGTCTCGATAACAACGTTTCTATGGAGAAAACACCTTTTCTATAGAAAAAAGTTGTCGATAACACCTTTCCTATAGAGAAAAGTTGTCGATAACACCTTTTCTATAGAGAAAAGTTGTCGATAACAAATTTTCTATGGAGAAATGTGGTCGATAACAGGTTTTCTATGGAGAAAAGTTGTCGATAACAGGTTTTCTATGGAGAAAAGTTGTCGATAACAGGTTTTCTATGGAGAAAAGTTGTCGATAACAGGTTTTCTATGGGGAAAAGTTGTCGATAACAGGTTTTCTATGGAGAAAAGTTGTCGATAACAGGTTTTCTATGGAGAAAAGTTGTCGATAACAGGTTTTCTATGGAGAAAAGTTGTCGATAACAGGTTTTCTATGGAGAAAAGTTGTCGATAACAGGTTTTCTATGGAGAAAAGTTGTCGATAACTTTTCTATGGAGAAAAGTTGTCGATAACAAATTTTCTATGGAGAAAAGTTGTCGATAACAACTTTTCTATGGAGAAAAGTTGTCGATAACAACTTTTCTATGGAAAAAAGTTGTCGATAACAACTTTTCTATGGAAAAAAAGTTGTCGATAACAACTTTTCTATGGAGAAAAGTTGTCGATAACAACTTTTCTATGGAGAAAAGTTGTCGATAACAACTTTTCTATGGAGAAAAGTTGTCGATAACAACTTTTCTATGGAGAAAAGTTGTCGATAACAACTTTTCTATGGGGAAAAGTTGTCGATAACAAAATTTTCTATAGATAAAAGTTGTCGATAACAAAATTTTCTATAGATAAAAGTTGTCGATAACAAAATTTTCTATAGATAAAAGTTGTCGTTAACAAAATTTTCTATAGAGAAAATTTGTCGATAACAACTTTTCTATGGAGACAAGTTGTCGATAACAACTTTTCTATGGAGACAAGTTGTCGATAACAACTTTTCTATGGAGACAAGTTGTCGATAACAACTTTTCTATGGAGAAAAGTTGTCGATAACAACTTTTCTATGGAGAAAAGTTGTCGATAACAACTTTTCTATGGAGAAAAGTTCTATGGAGAAAAGTTGTCGATAACAACTTTTCTATGGAGAAAAATTGTCGATAACAACTTTTCTATGGAGAAAAGTTGTCGATAACAACTTTTCTATGGAGAAAAGTTGTCGATAACAACTTTTCTATGGAGAAAAGTTGTCGATAACAACTTTTCTATGGAGAAAAGTTGTCGATAACAACTTTTCTATGGATAATAATCGACGGCGACTCCTTTTCTATAGAGAAAAGTTAACGATAACCACATTCCAATGAAGAAATGCAGTCGAAAAAACAGAAGGTTTAGAACCTAGCCAAGAAAATGGTGAAAAGTATTTAGTGAAAAGTTTTCATTATCTTCTTGGCATCTTCCGAAGTTCGATAACATGGTTATAAATTTCCTTAAGGAACTTACCACACTTTGACCAGTACAAAATAAAAAACAAACAAAATATTGAATTTTAAAAATCCATTTGTATTTATTACTTTCTTCTAATTTGTTTTTACGAATTTTCAACACACAAAATGCAATAGACTAATATAATTCTATATGTATCAAATATAAATATAAAAAGTATATGCTTATGTATATACGATTATATTATTAATTATATAGTTATATAATAAGAATTTATAATAAAAAAACAAGCTTTAACTATTTGTTTAATTTCTTTTAGTTTTTTAATTCTTCTTTAGAACGTGGTTCCGTTTTCACAAGATCTAGCTACTGTAAGGTCAATATATTACGTTCCTTGTTAAGGTTAGATTAACTTTATACATTCAATACTTTTAAAGCTGTCAAGTCTTTTAGAGATGAAATTTATTTACTTTTCGGCAACAAAACCCCGCCTCTATACTTGTTTCGGATCGACAACCTCAAATTGTAGGTCGAATTGTTGATCGAATCCTATCAAGCAATCCGACATTAAATAGAGTGTTAACAACAAACGTCCACGGCGCGGGGGACATTGGAAGGTTATGCGATTGGAGGATTTTAGACCACGCATATTTATGCGTTTCATGGCCAGCAATTCGTCGTTGCCCTGAGAGCCCAGTGTCATAAACCAAGCCTCCTTCTTACCCTTTGGATATTTCGGACAATGTATTGCAGTGTTGAATTGGCGCTTGGCATTCAAACGTTCCATGTCAATGCAAAGAACATAGTCCTACAAAACAGGAAATTCATTATTGAATCCATTTTCTAGTAGTTTCGTCAACTCACCTCATTTGGATGTATTTCGGTCCAGACATTCGATTTGGGATCTGTACTCACGGGTCGCATTGACTCTTCTTGTTCGTAATTACGACCCTGCACATAAATGTTAACAGCAATCTCCGGTAAATCCTGTATAACCCTATAGATCTGCTCGATTTCTGGTTCTTCAAACATATCTCTTAGCGGCCCGGCCAACTTTTCATAATCATTTCGACAAATGTCTTTCAGAACCGGCAGTGTCAGATACTCATAATTATGGGAAATATTGTAGAACAAATGAACATTGGCATTGTTAACATGCGGCAGTGTTAGGAATTCACTTTCATCGAACCATCTGGCCTGTATTACACTTTGCATAATCTGTTGAATTTTTAGAGAAGGTGAAAGCCATCCACGTTCGGCTGTATAATCGACCATGGCCTAGAAGAGAGAGAGTTATGAAATAAATTATATATACGATTTTAGAAAGGTTGTTATCGACAATTTTTCTTCATAGCAAAGCTGTTATCGACAACTTTTCTCCATAGAAAAGTTGGTATCGACAGAGAAAAGCTGTTATCGACAATTTTTCTGCAGAGAAAAGCTACTATCGACAACTTTTCTCTACAAAAAAGTTGTTATCGACAACTTTTTTCCACAAAAAAGTTGCTATCGACAACTTTTCTCGACAAAAAAGTTGCTATCGACAACTTTTTTCCACAAAAAAAGTTGTTATCGACAAATTTCTCCACAAAAAAGTTGTTATTGACAATTTTTCTCCACAAAAAGTTGTTATCGACAACTTTTCTCCACAAAAAGTTATTATCGACAACATTTCTCCACAAAAAAGTTATTATCGACAATTTTCTCCTCAAAAAGTTGTTATCGACAATTTTCTCCTCAAAAAGTTGTTATCGACAAATATTCTCCAGAGAAAAGCTATTACCGACAACTTTTCTCCAGAGAAAAGTTGTTATCGACGGCTTTTTTCCCCCAAAAAAAGTTGTAAGCGACAACTTTTCTCCTCAAAAAAGTTGATATCGACTACTTTTCTCCAGAGAAAATTTATTATCGACTATTTTTCTCGAAAAAAAGTTGTTATCGACAACTTTCTCCATAGACAACTTTTCTAAAAAAAAACTTTTTTCTAAACAACTTTTTTCCGTAGAAAAGTTGTTATCGACAACTATTCTCCATAGAAAAGTTGTTCTCGACAACTATTGTCGATAACAACTATTCTCCATAGAAAAGTTGTTATCGACAACTATTCTCCATAGAAAAGTTGTTATCGACAACTATTCTCCATAGAAAAGTTGTTATCGACAACTATTCTCCATAGAAAAGTTGTTATCGACAACTATTCTCCATAGAAAAGTTGTTATCGACAACTATTCTCCATAGAAAAGTTGTTATCGACAACTATTCTCCATAGAAAAGTTGTTATCGACAACTATTCTCCATAGAAAAGTTGTTATCGACAACTATTCTCTATAGAAAAGTTGTTATCGACTACTTTTCTCCACAAAAAAGTTGTTATCGACAACTTTTCTCCACAAAAAAGTTGTTATCGACAACTTTTCTACGTAGAAAAAAAGTTGTTATCGATAACTTTTCTCCACAAAAGAAGGTGGTTATCGACAACTTTTCTCCACAAAAAAGTTGCTATCGACAACTTTTCTCGACAAAAAAGTTTTTATCGACAACTTTTCTCCACAAAAAAGTTGTTATCGACAACTATTCTCCATAGAAAAGTTGTTATCGACAACTTTTATCCACATAAAAGTTATTATCGACAACATTTCTCCACAAAAAAGTTATTATCTACAATTTTCTCCTCAAAAAGTTGTTATCGACAAATATTCTCCAGAGAAAAGCTGTTATCAAAATTTTTTCTGCAGAGAAAAGCTATTACCGACAACTTTTCTCCAGAGAAAAGTTGTTATCGACGGCTTTTTTCCCCCAAAAAAAAGTTGATATCGACTACTTTTCTCCAGAGAAAATTTATTATCGACTATTTTTCTCTAAAAAAAGTTGTTATTGACAACTTTCTCCATAGACAACTTTTCTATATAAAAAAGTTGTTATCGACAACTTTTCTCCATAGAAAAGTTGCTATCGACAACTTTTCTCCATAGAAAAGTTGCTATCGACAACTTTTCTCCATAGAAAAGTTGTTATCGACAACTTTTTTCCGTAGAAAAGTTGTTATCGACAACTTTTTTCCGTAGAAAAGTTGTTATCGACAACTTTTTTCCGTAGAAAAGTTGTTATCGACAACTTTTTTCCGTAGAAAAGTTGTTATCGACAACTTTTTTCCGTAGAAAAGTTGTTATCGACACCTTTTTCCGTAGAAAAGTTGTTATCGACAACTTTTTTCCGTAGAAAAGTTGTTATCGACAACTTTTTTCCGTCGAAAAGTTGTTATCGACAACTTTTTTCCGTAGAAAAGTTGTTATCGACAACTATTCTCCTCAAAAAGTTGATATCGACTACTTTTATCCATAGAAAAGTTATTATCGACAACTATTCTCCATAGAAAAGTTGTTATCGACAACCTTTCTTCATAGAAAAGTTGTTATCGACAACTTTTCTATATAGAAAAGTTGTTATCGACAACTATTCTCCATAGAAAAGTTGTTATCGACAACTTTTCTACGTAGAAAAAAAGTTGTTATCGATAACTTTTCTCTACAAAAGAAGGTGGTTATCGACAACTTTTCTCCACAAAAAAGTTGCTATCGACAACTTTTCTCGACAAAAAAGTTTTTATCGACAACTTTTCTCCACAAAAAAGTTGTTATCGACAACTTTTCTCCACAAAAAGTTGTTATCGACAACTTTTATCCACATAAAAGTTATTATCGACAACATTTCTCCACAAAAAAGTTATTATCGACAATTTTCTCCTCAAAAAGTTGTTATCGACAAATATTCTCCAGAGAAAAGCTGTTATCAACATTTTTTCTGCAGAGAAAAGCTATTACCGACAACTTTTCTCCAGAGAAAAGTTGTTATCGACAACTTTTTTCCCCCAAAAAAAAGTTGTAAGCGACAACTTTTCTCCTCAAAAAAGTTGATATCGACTACTTTTCTCCAGAGAAAATTTATTATCGACTATTTTTCTCTAAAAAAAAGTTGTTATCGACAACTTTCTCCATAGACAACTTTTCTACATAAAAAAGTTGTTATCGACAACTTTTCTCCATAGAAAAGTTGCTATCGACAACTTTTCTCGACATTTTTTCTGCAGAGAAAAGCTATTACCGACAACTTTTCTCCAGAGAAAAGTTGTTATCGACGGCTTTTTCCCCCAAAAAAAAGTTGTAAGCGACAACTTTTCTCCTCAAAAAAGTTGATATCGACTACTTTTCTCCAGAGAAAATTTATTATCGACTATTTTTCTCTAAAAAAAAGTTGTTATTGACAACTTTCTCCATAGACAACTTTTCTACATAAAAAAGTTGCTATCGACAACTTTTCTCCATAGAAAAGTTGCTATCGACAACTTTTCTCCATAGAAAAGTTGTTATCGACAACTTTTTTCCGTAGAAAAGTTGTTATCGACAACTTTTTTCCGTAGAAAAGTTGTTATCGACAACTATTCTCCTCAAAAAAGTTGATATCGACTACTTTTATCCATAGAAAAGTTGTTATCGACAACTATTCTCCATAGAAAAGTTGTTATCGACAACCTTTCTTCATAGAAAAGTTGTTATCGACAACTTTTCTATATAGAAAAGTTGTTATCGACAACTATTCTCCATAGAAAAGTTGTTATCGACAACTTTTCTCCATAGAAAAGTTGCTATCGACAACTTTTCTCCATAGAAAAGTTGCTATCGACAACTTTTCTCCATAGAAAAGTTGATATCGACAACTTTTCTCCATAGAAAAGTTGATATCGACAACTTTTCTCCATAGAAAAGTTGTTATCGACAACTTTTTTCCGTAGAAAAGTTGTTATCGACAACTTTTTTCCGTAGAAAAGTTGTTATCGACAACTTTTTTCCGTAGAAAAGTTGTTATCGACAACTTTTTTCCGTAGAAAAGTTGTTATCGACAACTTTTTTCCGTAGAAAAGTTGTTATCGACAACTTTTTTCCGTAGAAAAGTTGTTATCGACACCTTTTTCCGTAGAAAAGTTGTTATCGACACCTTTTTCCGTAGAAAAGTTGTTATCGACAACTTTTTTCCGTAGAAAAGTTGTTATCGACAACTTTTTTCCGTAGAAAAGTTGTTATCGACAACTTTTTTCCGTAGAAAAGTTGTTATCGACAACTTTTTTCCGTAGAAAAGTTGTTATCGACAACTATTCTCCTCAAAAAAGTTGATATCGACTACTTTTATCTATAGAAAAGTTGTTATCGACAACTATTCTCCATAGAAAAGTTGTTATCGACAACCTTTCTTCATAGAAAAGTTGTTATCGACAACTTTTCTATATAGAAAAGTTGTTATCGACAACTTTTCTATATAGAAAAGTTGTTATCGACAACTTTTTTCCGTAGAAAAGTTGTTATCGACAACTTTTCTCCACAAAAAAGTTGTTATCGACAACTTTTCTCCACAAAAGAGTTGTTATCGACAACTTTTCTCCACAAAAGAGTTGTTATCGACAACTTTTCTCCACAAAAGAGTTGTTTTCGACAACTTTTCTCCATAGAAAAGTTATTATCGACAACTTTTCTCCATAGAAAAGTTGTTATCGACAACTTTTCTATATAGAAAAGTTGTTATCGACAACTATTCTCCATAGAAAAGTTATTATCGACAACTATTCTCCATAGAAAAGTTGTTATCGACAACTATTCTCCATAGAAAAGTTGTTATCGACAACTATTCTCCATAGAAAAGTTGTTATCGACAACTATTCTCCATAGAAAAGTTGTTATCGACAACTATTCTCCATAGAAAAGTTGTTATCGACATATTTTCTCCTAAGAAAAGTTGTTATCGACAACTTTCTCCATAGAAAAGTTGTTTTCGACAACTTTCTCCATAGAAAAGTTGTTTTCGACAACTTTTCTCCATAAAAATGTTGTTATCGACAATATTTCTTAATATTTCTATTACAAAGTTCTTATCGACAGATTTTCTCCACAGCAAAGTTTTTATCGCCTACTTTTTTTAATACATACCTGCATAACACGCGTTGCATTATCTAAAGCCGACTTGGTATCTGTTAAATAATCGGAATTAGGCAGTGACAATCGTGAGAAATGAGCTTGAAGTAACAGGAACGTTTTGGTGTAGGGAGAATCCCATGTGGGCGAACGTGGACGATAGCGAACAACATCGGCCATTTCTCTGTAGAGGAGAAAATAAAATACAATTAACATTTTGAGATAATTTTCATTTGATATACAGATATGTGTGTATGTGGGTGTGGGTGTGCATATTATATTTTTCCCAACTTACTCATTGTATTTATCTTCATTATGACGTACAGGCTGTTGATCAAATTCATAGGAATCAGCTATGGCAAGCAAAATATCCGATGTCGACATTTGCGGTTCCAAATCATCTAGGAAATGTTTCATTGTGCGATACGACAAATAGTAAAATGAAGCAATGCGTCCCAAAAATGTTGGCAGCAACAAATGTTCGTTTTGCATTACACAGGCGGCTGCCTCCAATTCATAAATGACCTTTTCCACCAACGAAGATAGGAAGGTGTTGACTTGACTGGGTTCCAGACCTTCTAAATTGTAGTATGTGGGATTTCGTAACAATCTTCTGAAGAAGAAAGTCCATGTCAAATAATCCAAGGCAGCCTGTTTCGTTTGTACGGTGCCTGCAACAATTTCTGCATTAATGTGCTCCGGCAATACCTCGAGCAGACTTGACTCCACTGGGAATGGATCGTAGAGGAACTTTTTGTAAAAGTTTTTCTTGACATCGTGAACCAATACCACGGCCACGCCTTCATTATCGAACTGAGGCCGACCGGCACGACCCATCATTTGTAGGACATCTGTTATGGGCATATCAACGTATTTCTTTACCTTGCCATCAAAGTATTCCGTGCCCTTGATGACAACCAAGTGAGCTGGCAAATTAACACCCCAGGCCAGTGTTGCTGTGGCAATGAGAACCTGGATTTTACGATTGAGAAACAGCTCCTCAACCGTCTTGCGATCTTGTTCCTGCAAACCGGCATGATGCAAACCAATGCCAAAGGCCAAACAGAATTTCAAATTCGAGTCCTTAATGTCCTGTAGAATTTGTTGCATTTCATACTCTTCCATGTTGAGGAATTGCTTGGGATTTTCATCACCCGCCACAAATGTGATTAAATCTAAGGCAGTCAGACGTGTTTGTCGTCGAGACGAGACAAAAACAATGGCCGGATCGGTTGGCGAGTAGGAACGTATTGCCTGGAATGTGGGACGATTCATGGTGGCCATACGTGGACAATAGTGTTTTCCTGTAAGGATAAAAGGCGATTTGTTAATACTGTATTCAAAAACAATTTAGAAACATTAGAAACGGGGAAATTTAATAATTTATATGTCATCAAAATTGGCGCTGATAAATTATTTGCTCCAAGGACGTGGCGATAATCGAGTTTAGACATCTAAAAGTAAAATAGTATCAGTCTGTTGTGCCGACAGATGTATACCCCCAGCCTTTAGTTATGATTATTCTAACTGTTGACCCTTTATGGGAGAGGTTGCGAAGCGTTTGGACAATATTGACCAATTCGTATCTGACCTAAGACTGGTATAAATGTTACAACGTTCCAGATTTGGACTACTTCCTATACTTTATATGAGATATCTGCACATTTTTGGAATATGTGTATATATGTATGGACGGAAGTATTCAATTTTCCTACTTCATCTGATACAGATAAATTCCGATTTAAGAGAAATATTTAGATATAGCAAATTATAAAAAATTGCTGACTTGTTTCGCAAGTTATGACGGATATAAGTATTGGGAATTGTGACCCTTTGTGGGTGAGGTACCAGAAGGGGTTGGCAGATGTATATCATCCTCACAACTTGATCTTGTGTTAGCAACAAGGTTTGTATGTGGGAAATTTGAGGAGATGGACAGATGGATTTGGATGCTTATTTCGCTTTCCTTGAGCGTTTTGTTTTCAAAATCTAGAACCCTTTGTGGGGGAGGTACCAGAAGGAATGGTTCGATCTCTACCATCTTCATGACAGATCTTGTGTTGATGGAAATATTGAGATGTATGAAGTCTGAATGAATCGGACGTTATTTTCGCGTTTTATGGGCTTCATGGATAATCAAAATGTTTGACCCTTTGTGGGGGACATACCAGAAGGAGCCGACCGATATATTCCATCTTCACACCAGACTATGGGTTAATAAAAACATGGTGATGTGTTTAACTTGAACTTATTTCGGATTTTATGATCGTTTTTGTTATTCAAAACTTTGAACCTTTGTGGGGGAGGTACCAGAAGGAATGACCCGATCTCTACCATTTTTACAACAAATCCTGTGTTGATAGAAATATTGAGATGTCCCAAGTCTGAATGGAATCGGATGCTAATTTCGTGTTTTACGAGCTTTATGAATATTCAAAATTTTGACCCTTTGTGGGGGAGGTACCAGAAGGAGTGGTCCGATATATTCCATCTTCACACCAGACTTTGGGTTAATAAAAACATTGTGATGTGTGTAATTTGAAGAGCATCGGATGCTTATTTCGGATTTTATGATCGTTTTCGTTATTCAAAACTTTGAACCTTTGTGGGGGAGGTACCAGAAGGAGTGGACCGATATTGTCCATCTTTACACCAGACTTTAGGTTAATAAAAATATTGTAATGTGTGTAATTTGAAAACAATCGGAAGCTTTCATCACATTTTGTAAGAGTTATATTTATTCAAAATGTTTACCCTTTGTGGCGGAGGTACTTGATGGAGCGGACCAATATTGTCCATTTTCGCACCTGGCCTAGAACTGATACAAATATTAGGATTTGCAAAGTTAGAGCAAAATCGGATTAACCTTTCTCTGTATGTGCAGGAAAAATATTATTTTTGGAATTTTCGCCCTTTTGTGGGGAAGATACCAGAAGGAGTGGACCGATATTGACCATCTCCGAACTCGATCTAAGTTTGGTAATAATATTACGATGTACCAAATCGGATACTCCCTTCGCGAGTTATCGTGCGCACCAGTCAACGAGACTGCAGACGAATTGGCTAGGATCCAAATCGACTATCATTAAAGTTTAGAACTCCTACAGGTAATTCATGACCACTACTCGGAGAGAATTCAACAAAAAATGGCTGGACGAAAAGGGATGCAACATCTCCAAAAGACTCTGGCCCACACTCTCGGAGAAGAGAACAAAGTCGTTACTGTCATTGTCTAAGCCTGACTAAATACTTGTGGTGGCTATCATCACAGGTCACTGCAAGGTGAGGGCAATGACATCGGGATGGGACAGCGATGACATTGATTACTGTACAATATGTCAGGACGACGAAGAAATTGAGACGATCGAACATCTGCTCTGCCACAATCCAGCACTCATTAACGTGAAACACAGGTTGGAACAAGTGCCACATGATTTGTCTGCGTTCTCTAACACTGACCCTACAATAATTCTTCAATTAGCCAGAAGATTTAAGTGGCTAAAGACGACACGGCAAGATCTCTAGCCGTGGATAATTCTCATAATTATATATTAAACCACTAACACCATACTTTTTATACCCTCCATCATAGTATGGAGGTTATATTAAGTTTGTTACTCCGTTTGTAACACCTTGAAATATACATTATAGACCCCACAAAGTGTATATATTCTTGATCAGCATAAAATTCTATGTCGATTTAGCAGTGTCCGTTCGTCTGTCCGTCTGTGGAAATCACTCTAGCTTCCGAACGAATTGAAGTAGATTTATAAAATTTCACCCAAATGTATATTATGTCTACAGGACTTTCGGTATTGAAAATGGGTCATGTAGGTCCACGTTTTGGCATAGCCCCCATATAACGGTACCTCCCGATATTCGGTATTTTGTTGATTTTAACGACATTATTCACATTATGGTATTTGAAGTTCGTAATGGATGCTACAGCCTAAGACAGAAAATTGTCTGTGCCGGCCTTCTTATAGCCCCCATATAACGGTACCTCCCGATATTCGGTATTTTAATGATTTTAGCGACATTATTCACCGGAATTGTTTTAAATTTTGGTATTTGAAGTTCGCAATGGATACTACAGCCTAAAACAGAAAATTGTCTGTGCAGGTCCACGTCTTCGTATAGCCCACATATAATGGTCCTGATGTTTGGTATTTTGATGATTCAAGCTACAGCTTACAGCTTTTTTGTTGTCACTATTCTTTCTTTCTTCCAATTTCTTATTAGGATGAACACAATGGACCAGCAGGTCTCCGAGTGGAGCGGTTACCTGGCAAGACGGCCACTAAGCAAATTTGGTTTCTATTCTGAGAGTCAGGGAACGTTGTAGAAGAAATATGGCGGACACGCAGGTTGACACTCTAGGATCGTTCATTTGCATATTACATGTGGCTGGTTTACGAATCTTCCACCTCGAACTTTCAAAACAGCATACTCCTCCCCTGGAATATACTATTTTTAATGGCTTTTTTTCTCGTTTCAATTTCAAAACTTAATCTAGCCAAAATTCTTTTGAAGCACAAAAAAACAAAAAAATAATAAAATCCCCGTAGGAAAACCACAATTTCACGCTGATAACATGTTTCCAAATTCTACGTTAAAGTGTGAACGAAGCTCCGAAAACAAAAACTGTGTACAATATTAATCCATAAACATGAGAAACCAAACAATTTAAGCTCAACACAAAATAAACCACACATGAGATTGATGTTATATTCAAAATTCAATATTCAGTGGCAGTGATTAATTTAAATCCACTTGAATCTTCATGGCATTCTCTGAACATGTCTGGCGAGAGCATTTATTTCGATACAAGTGGATCTAAGGGTTAAAATATCAACATAATTGTATGTCTTAAGAATGGATAATATTTCAGTAATTGCCATTAGTTCCATCTAAACGTGCAAACTGGCCGGACGTTAACTAACTTCGAAAATAAAAGAAAATGTTAGCTAAAATATTTCTACTTCAAGTGATTTTTATCATAAATTGCATTTTGCCAAACCGTGCTTTAGGTTCTTCTGGGAGTGTGAGTTAGAAATGTATATCTGCGAACTGTATATGAAATATATGTGTATTCCGTTTTTTTTTACTAAATTAGGTTTGTTTCAATTTAGAGGACACCGAAATCGTAAAGCAACTTGTCAATGATGTCAGTGAAATAAAGGACACAATGGATAATCTAAATGTGAGGTAAATTGAGAGATTTTTATACCCTTAGCCATATGGCTAGAGAGAGAATACATCATTTGATACGGCCAAAACGTGTCTCATCGATATAGCGGTTTTAGACCCTAGGTGTCTTTGGACCAAATCCGTTTCAGGACATTTGGAGTCGATCTAGCGATGTCTGTCTAGGTGGCTGGTGTGCACGATAACTCTCGAAGAGAGTATCCCATTTGATCCAAACTTGGTACATGGAAATATTATTGTCAAACTTAGATCGAGTCCGGAGATGATCAATATATTTCCACTCCTTCTGGTACCTCCCACACAAAATGTCAACATTTTTAAAGAAAATAATTTACTGTACAGAAAGAGAAATGATAATCCGATTTTGCTCCAACTTTGCAAATCCTAATATTTGCATCAATGCTAGGTCAGGTGCGAAAATGTACAATATCGGTCCACTCCATCAAGTACCTCCCCCACAAAGGGGCAAAATTTTGAATAATTATAACACTTGTCCAAGTGATGTAAGAGTCCGATTGTCTTCAAATTACATACATCACAATATTTTTATTAACCCTAAGTCTGGTGTGAAGATGGAATATGTCGTTCCACTCCTTCTGGCACCTCCCTCACAAAGGGTCAAAATTCTGAGTATTCATGAGGCTAGTAAAACACGAAATAACCATCCGATTACATTCAAACTTGGAACATCTCAATATTTCCATTAACACAAGATCTGTTGTAAAGATGTTAAAGGTCGGATAATTTCTTCTGGTACCTCCCCTACATAGGGTTCAGGTTTTTTCTTTAAATTTCACACGCCCAAATATTTTTGCTAACGCAGGATCTGTGTGAAGATGTTATTCATCTGCCAACCCCTTTTGGTACCTAATCCACAAAGAGTCCCAATTTTCAATACTTTTATCTGTCATAACTTGCGAAACAAATCGCCGATTCTTTACAACTTGCTACATCTAAATATCTCTCTTAACCAGAAATCTGATATGAATGTGTAATTTATCGAATATTGCACATACCAATATTTTAATCTGTATTAGATGAAGTATGAAAATGGAATACTTCTCGATCTCCTCCTTATCTTGACAATGCCTGCAATATTCAGTATTGTCGCCTCCCGTGGGACGAAATGTAAAGCACCCCTAGGTTTAGATTTGTCTATATTAAATAGAATAATGTAATAGGCATTCCTATCCTCCACACTTGCTCCCAGTCTGTTTTTTACCCTATATTATTCTCGCCAGAAAGCCTACAGTACACTAGAGTGGCTTACAACAATTCAGATCTCAATGGGAACAGAGAGGCGGTTCTTCGTTCTGCAGATACTTGCCATGTTGGCCTCATCAAAATCAAATAACTTTTTTTTATTTTTTAAAGAAATATACTCTCAGTCTAAGATCTGAAACGCCATATATATTGTCCTGAGCATAATAAAGGTCTTGAAAATTTCAAAATTTTCTTTAATCTGTAAAAATTATTTTTTGTTTATTTCAGCAAACAAGTGAAGAATAAAGGCAAGTTATTAAAGCCGTTTATAAAGAATTTTTCAAACCGAAGTAACATCTCAAAAATTTCCAGGAAAAAAAACTAAATTCATTTATAAATTATATATATTTTTGATGTATGTGTGTATTTATTTTTTATTTCGTATTTATTTTATTTTTTCATATTATCTTACATACTTATATATTTTTTTGTTTTTATATCAAATTTATTTCCGTGTTTTATACGAATTTAGTGCATTTAGTACTTTTGCTACCCTTACATTCCGAGTTATTATATAACCTTTGGGTTATCGCTCCTACACCCTCATTCCAGATTTTGTTCCCCAAATACCAAATTTAATGTCTATTAGTAAATTTTGTACTTTTTGATACGTTCTTCAAAATCCATCTCATAAAGAGATCCAAATACCGAATTGGACATTTCTCTACCCCTTTTTCATAAATACCAAATTTAGTACTTATGGAACTTTTTAGTGCATATTTCCAAATTCACCTTCAAGTCTCAACCCTACACCCTAGCAGTGATCCCAATATACATATTTTAAATTTCTAGATTCATGACCCAAGCATCAAGTAGAACATATTTCAAAAACCCACCTCCTTATCCAAGCCTAGTTCTCCAACTCTATTCTTACACCAAAGAGTTTACATTGTAGCTCCATTCGTTCACATCATACTAAATGGCATAAAATATAGTCCTTTTTAGTTCGAATTTCAAAACAACAACCTTTAGTGCATACAGTCCGTCTGCGACCTCCATCCTAAATTAACAATGGATTCAAATTTTAGTACCATTTAGTACTTTAAGCACATTTCCCTGATTAAAAGTATCCTATGCCCGTCTCCTGGCTCTTCTAAGCTACCGATAATCCAATCGAAATAAAAGCCAGTACATCAAATTTGGTGAAATCGGTTTAGATATAGCTATAGCTCCCATATATATCTTTACCTAATATCAGGTTTATTGTGCCCCAAATGGCTAATATCAGCCCAAATGAACTGAATTTTGGCACTTATTACTGAATTTATCTTAGAAGCCAGTACTTCAAATTTATTGGGAATCGGTGCAGATATAGCTATAACTCCCATATATATGTTTTATCCGATTTGGGGTATAAAGTCCCTCACAAGCGTAATATGCATTCGACAAAAATGATATTTGGTACCAGATATCAGATACAACTCTGAAAAAAATTTTGGGAACTACGACAGAATTCATCCTAGAAGCCAGTACTTCAAATTTGGTGTAGATCAGTTCAGACATAGCTGTAGCTCCCATATATATGTTTTATCCGATTTGGGGTTTTAAGTCCCTCCACAACAATGATATTTGATACCTGAATTTAGATACAGCTCGAAACGGCGTCTGCCAAATTTTATCAAGATCGGTTCATATTTTATATACCTTCGATATACATCTTTCGATTTTGCGGTTATTGTTCACCATATATTCCATTTGTATTTAGTTGATTTTTCTCAATCTATTTTATTTACTTTTATATTTTTTATTGATTTATGTATTTTTTTATTTATTTTGTTCAATTCATTTATAATTTATTAATTCATTTAATTTTTATTTATTAAATTAATCAATTTAACCATTCATATATATTTTATTTATTGTAATCTTCTAGACTCACCCATTTTTGATATACGCGTTGATGCCCTACCATATAAATGGTAAGTCTAATTTAGAAAACCTTATTTTTTTTACAAAATTTAATTCCTTACATTTTCTCCAAACACGCGCTAAAAAAAGTCAATCCCACGGCCCCTTTGCCAGTTGTGCCGAGGTAACAGCCTGCACCGGAAGCAGTGGCTACTATTACATACGTCTACCACAATTTAGCAATGAAAGTTTTCTCGTTGAATGCGATGCACACCATGATGGTGGCGATTGGACAGTGATACAAAGGCGACATGATGGCTCTATAGATTTCTATCGCACATGGTCTGAATATAAAGACGGGTTCGGTGATATCGATGGAGAATTTTTCATTGGCTTGGATAAATTGCATGCGCTAACCAACTACCAGGGACCTCAAGAGCTATTGATTCTGATGACAAATGGTACAAATGAGGCCGAAGGTTTTGCCAAATATGATGCCTTTCGAATTGGCAATGAATTGGAAAAGTATGTACTCAAAAGGACGGGACGTTATACGGGTACGGCTGGAGATTCGCTAAAAGGTCACATTGGTTTGAAATTTACAACTAAAGATCAGGATAATGATAATTATGGTACGAATTGTGCCCAAGCCTTTATGGGTGGCTGGTGGTATGGTGCATGTCATGTGAGGTAAGTTGGGGTTGAGTTTTCTTTGTTGAAATTTGAAAAAAAATAAATATTTTTTTTGTTTTTTCTTTTTTGTCAGCAATCTCAATGGTCACTATGGAGATGCCCAACATGGCCGTGGTGTCAATTGGTATTCATTTTCTGGACATTACAATTCCTTGACATATTCGAAAATGATGTTACGCCGTCGAAGGAACTCTTAGGATATATACAATAAAATAATGTAATTCCAAATTATAGTTTTATTATTACTCGGAAGTCTCCGGAGCAGAGTTTAAATGTTGAAAAATCGTTCATCCGTATACTAGACAACAACAAAAATGTATGCTCCATGTATATAATTCATACAGCAATGAATCTCTCCCCTTCTCTATGTCAAAATCCATAGGAAGGTTAGAATACCCTTCAGAAAAAATAAATGATTGAATATTGCTATTGTCATCGTCTTCGACAACAGCATAAAATTCTAAATCGAAATCATGTTTGGGCCATAATAGTAGGCCTTTGGAAATATTAGGCCACAAAATCAATTTTGAAATCCGACCTTTGAAAATATTGATTTAACAAGTAAACTAGTATCAGTCGGTTTTGCCGACAGATGTATATCCCCAGCCTTGAGTTATGATCATTCCAACTGTTGACCCTTTCTGGGGGAGGTTTCAAAGCACCTTTGTAGGTGAGGTACCAGAAGGGATTGGCAGACATATATCATGTTCATAACAGATCTTGCGTTAGCAAAAATATTTGGATGGGTAAAATTTGAGAAGAGTTGGATGCTTATTTCGCTTTGTTTGAGCGCTTTGTTTTTCAAAAGTTTTGAACCCTATGTGGGGAAGGTGCCGGAAGAAATGATCCGATCTCTACCATCTTTATAACAGATCTTGTGTTTATAGAAATATTGAAATGTGCTAATTCTGAATGGAATCGGATGTTATTTTCGTGTTTTATGAGCTTCATGGATATTCAAAATTTTGACCCTTTGTGGGGGAGGTACCAGAAGGAGTGGACAGATATATACCATTTTCACACCAGACCTTGGGTCAATAAAAACATTGTGATGTGTGTAATTCGAAGAGAACCGGATGCTTATTTCGGATTTTATGATAGTTTTGGTTATTCACAATTTTGACTCTTTGTGGAGGAGGTACCGGAAGGAATGGTCCGATCACTAACATCTTTATAAAAAAAACCTTATGTTGATGGAAATATTGAGATGTGCCAAGTCTGAATCGAATCGGATGTTAATTTCGTATTTTGTGAGCTTCATGGATATTCAAATTTTTGACCCTTTGTGGGGGAGGTAACAGAAGGAGTGAACCGATATATTCCACCATCACACCAGACCTTGATTTTATGAAAATATTGTGATGTGTGTAATTTGAAGACAATCGGACACTTACATCACATTTTATAAGAGTTATAATTATTCAAAATTTCAACCCTTTGTGGGAGAGGTTCTTGATGGAGCGTTTTCGCGCCTGACCTAGCACTGATGCAAATATTAGTAGTTGCAAAGTTGGGGCAAAATCGGATTATCCTTTCCCTGTCTGTGCAGGAAAATATTATTTTTGAAATTTTCGGCCTTTTGTGGGGGAGCTACCAGATGGAGTGGACCGATGTTGTCCATCTCCGAACTCGATCTAAGTTTGATAATAATATTACGATGTACCATGTTTGGACCAAATCAAATACTCCCTTCGAGAGCTATCGTGCGCACCACCCAGTCAGACAGGCAGACGGGCGGACGGACGGACATCGCTAGGTCTACTCCAAATGTCCTGAAAGGGATTTGGTCTAAAGAAACCTAGGGTGTAAAACCGTTATTTCGATGAGGCACGTTTTGGCCGTTTCAAATGATATCTACCCTCTCTAGCCATATGGCAGAGGGTATAAAAAGCCATGATTTTAGCAATGATTGACCTCGAAAAAAAAATGTAAAATTCAATCTGAAAATTCCTGCTTGTTGTAGACCTACGAAAATCCAATCCACAAGCGTGGACAGTCTTTAATAATTAATCTCCAAATCCAAGCTTATATCAAGGCTAGTCCTCAAAAATGAATCCTCCTCCACCAAATCTACGATTTTAGCCATGATTTTTTAACTTAGCTTCCAAAATATTCTTAAGAACGAAATCCACAATTTAAGCTTACCTGAAAATCCATTAATGTGCACCTGCAAAGGAACCGGGCGCACAGATGGTTTAAAATTATACAGGCCCATTTGTTTGATGCCCAACCAATTGGCCAAATCCTGAGCATTTGCCAATGCCGTTGACAGGCCCACAATACGTATATTACGTCCCGTATGCGATGTAATGAAATTTGTACGTGAGACAATAACTTCAATGACCGGACCACGATCTTCACCCAACAAATGAATTTCATCGATAACAATTAGCACAACATCCTGAACATATTCTCTTGTCTGCCACGAACGACTGATACCATCCCATTTTTCTGGGGTTGTAACAATAACCTGAGATTCCCGGATAGCCTGTATATCGGGCGTTGTATCACCGGTAAGTTCGACCACTTTTTTCCGCAGAGGACCAGCCTCGAAACGTTTCTTCCAATCACTGATGCGTTCCTTGACTAAAGCTTTTAGGGGAGCTATGTACACAACCTTCGCCTTGGGTGACATATTAAAGGCACGAAACATGGCAATTTCGGCAACAATGGTTTTACCCGAACCCGTCGGTGCACCCAACAACACATTATTGTTGGTGTGATACAGACAATGGAATATTTGTGTTTGTATTGGATTGAAATGGGAGAAGTTGTAGAGGGATTCATACAAAGGATTTTGTAAACAACTAACTGGCAGTGGATTTAATGGCAAGAGCTCTGTCAATGGTGGATGATGTTCGGGCAGAACAAGATGTTTGAATGTCATTGCTGTCCAGGCATTACTGCCCAGCCATGTGTCGCTGGCAACACGTATATAATATTGTGGCGGCAGTGGCTCCTTCAATGGTATAGTCATGACCAGCTGTTGAGGTTTACCGCCGTAAACAAATTTGCGAGTTGCCTGGAATGAAAGAAAGATTGGAGAATTTTAAAAAGATTTTTTTTAAGAATAAGGCTATACTGAGAAAAATATTTTTAATGAACACTAAAATAGATCGCTTTGATATTGAAGAATATTCTTATAGACCTTACTGATCACACTCTGTCGGTCACTGAAAAAAGTTTTTTAAAATGGTCAAGAGTGTGGCTCTGTGGGGCATTAAATTATTTTTATACCCTCAGTCAGTATGTATGGCTAGGAGGGTATATATCATTTGATACGGCCAAAAAGTGCCTCATCGAAATAACGGTATTAGACCCTAGGTCACTTTGGACCAAATCCGTTTCAGAACATTTGGAGTCGATCTAGCGATGCCCGTCCATCTGTCTGGCTCGAACTCTCGAAGGAAGTATTCGTGTTGATCCAAACTTGGCACATTGTAATATTATTGTCAAACTTAGATCGAGTTCGGAGATGGGCAAAATCGGTCCACTCCTTCTAGTACCTCCGCCACAAAATGTCAATATTTTCAAAGAAAATAATTTACTGCACAGAAAGAGAAAGGATAATCCGATTTTGCTCCAACTTTGCACATCCAAATATTTGCATCAGTTCTAGGTCAGGTGCGAAAATGGTACCTCCCTCACAGAGGCAAAATATTGAATATTCATGAAGCTCAACACGAAATTAATATCCGATTCCATACAGAACTGGCACAAATCAATATTTCCATCAACACAATATCTGTTGTAATGATGGCAGGGATCGGACCATTCCTTCTGGTACCTCCCTCACAAAGGGTCAAATTTCTGAATATTCATGAAACTCATAAAACCCGAAATTAACATCCGACTCCATTCAGACTTGGTACATCTTAATATTTCCATCAACACAAGACCTGTTACAAAGGTGGTAGAGATCGGACCGTTCCTTCTGGTACCTCCCCCACAAAGGGTCGAGGTTTGGAATTACCAAAACGATCATAAAATCCGAAATAAGCATCTGGTTCTCTTCAAATTACCAAATCACAATATTTTTATTAACCCAAGGACTGGTGTGAAGATGGAATATATCGGTTCACTCCTTCTGGTACCTCCACCACAAAGGGTCAAAATTTTGAATATTTATGGAGCTCATGAAACCCGAAATTAACATCCGATCCCATTCAGAATTGGCACATATCAATATTTCAATCAACACAAGATCTGTTATAAATATGGTAGAGATCGGATCATTCATTCTAGTACTTCCCCCACAATTGATCGAAGTTTTGAATAACCACAACGATCATAAAATCCGAAATAAGCATCTGATACTCTGCAAATTACACACATCACAATATTTTTATTAACCCTAAGTCTGGTCTGAAGATGTAATACACCGGTCTACTCCTTCTGGTACCTCCCCAACAAAGGGTCTAAATTCTGAATATTCATGAAGCTCATAAAACCAACCAAAAATTGTAGCCACTAAAATCAATTCTTATTAAAATTATCTAATTAATTTAGCTCACCTGAAACAATTCCGAATGATAGATGAAATTCGTTTCCGGATCCTCAATCCACAGCCAAAAACTCTCACTAACTTTGCCATGAACACGATCATTCCAATTGAAATTTGCCCAGATATCGATTTTAATGCGCAACACTGTACGTGTAATGGGCTGCAGTGTTGCCTCAATATCAAGCATTGGCAGTTCCCTTGCGGCACGCAACACCTGTTCGGCATTTCGGGGATTACGTAGGATTTCCTTCAATTCATTCTGCTCCATTTCACGCAGTGTATACAAACTTATGCCACGACTTTCCAATTTGTCAATTGTTTCCGCATTTAAATTACCAAATTGACGCATGGGCGTTTCAAAGTCCCACTGCTGTTTCTCGAACATTTTACAAATTTGAAGCATACGACCCGACAGAATGGCATTATTGTTACGCAGCACAATGGAGAACAAGGCACGACAAATACGTACAATATTCTGTACAATATAAGACATGTCGGAGACCAGAGAAAACGATTTCACATAGCCATGCGAGAGGTAGGTTTGCATTAGAATATTCACTTTGCCGCAGACATTTTCACTGCCACCAAATGCCTTGACTTTGCAGTAGTTGTGACGTAGCTCATCCAGTTCTTCCATTTCATCATCGCGCACCTTAAGCTGTTGGAATTCTTGGGCTTGCGAAATCATGGCAAAGATTTCGGCCTCCGACATGAAGGGTTTCAACAGTTCATTGAATATTTCCACTGTATCGTATTTGATATAGAAATGTGATGCTGTGCGACCCAAATCGGTTACATTGAAATCCATTGTTCTCTGATTGAAACGAATCATTCGGGCTTTGTCCAAACTCATGGCAGCACCCATGATAAGTGCCCGGCGCTTTGTCTCCAACAGGGGATCTTGTAAAACTTCGGCATATTCAATGCCATAGACATGGGGATTGATACGCATGCGCACAAACAGATAAGTATAACTTAGCCATTCGACAGCTTCCTCAACATTCGAGATGGTGCCAAGGGTTATTTCGGCGTTTAGATTGTCGGCCAAAAATTGTACAAAATTCGATTCAATGGGGAATTGATTGGTCAACAGGGATAGATAGTGGTTCAATTTGTCATAGGTGGTAATGATGGTACCCAAGCCGCTCTTGTCAAACTGTGGACGACCAGCACGACCAAATATTTGCAATACATCCAATATACCCAAATCCACAAATGAGCCGTGTTTAGAATCATAGATATCGGTACCTAAGCAATCAAATAAATAGAGGTATGAATATTTAAAATTAAAATATTTTCTTAGCCTTACCCTTAATGATGACAGCATGAGCCGGCAAATTAACACCCCAGGCCAAGGTGGCAGTACAAACCAACACCTTGATATGACCTTCTCCAAAATATTTCTCAACCAATTGACGATCTGTCCTCAACATACCGGCATGATGCATTGCAAACCCGGCTGCAAACAATTCCACCAATTGCTTATTTCTCGATTTTTGTATTGCTCTTTGGGCCAAACCATAATTGTTGCTCGTTGTATCCGGCAAAAATACAGCACTGGTTTTATTTTGCTGCGCCAATTCTCTTAAAGTTGTCGCTGTGCGTACCGTGGCATTACGTGCATGCACAAAGACCATAACCTGATGACCCTGTTGTACTTGTTCCAAACATTTTTGATAACATATTTGATCCATATCGGCCAATTGCTGTAATGGTTTCACCGCCTTCACACCAATAAATGCCGTATCCAAAGGCACTGGACGAAAACGACCGTCGAAATAGAAGAGACCCTTCATCGGATTGACACGTAGGAAATTGGAGACATCGATATAATTGGGTAAGGTGGCAGAGAGACCGACAATACGTATCATACTTTGTGAGGATTCAACCAAACGTAGTGTACGGGCAACAAGGGCCTCAACAACGGGACCACGTTCGCCATGCAACAAATGTACTTCATCAATAATCAACAGTTTAACAAGGCTAATAAGAGCAACATCCCCGGCACCTGAAATGAAAAGAATTCGAAAAGAATATAAAAATAATGGCATGTGTGAAATTTGTAGAGAACCATAATGCTTATTGCGGATTTTATGATCGTTTTGGTAATTCAAAAATGTTGACCCTTTGTGGGGGAGGTACCAGAGGGATTGGACCGATATATCCCATCTTCACACTAGACTTGGGGTTAATAAACATATTGTGATGTGTGTATTTTAAAGAGATTCGGATGCTTATTTCGGATTTTATGATCGTTTCTGTTATTCAAAAATGTTGACCCTTTGTGGGGGGAGGTACGAGAGGAAATGATCCGATCTCTACCATCTTTACAACAGATCTCGCGTCGATGGAAATATTGAGGTGTACCAAGTCTGAATGACATCGGATGTTAATTTCGCGTTTTATGGGCTTCATGGATACTCAAAATTTTGAACTTTTGTGGGGGAGGTACCAGAGGGAGTGGACCGATATATCCCATCTTCACACTAGACTTGGGGTTAATAAACATATTGTGATGTGTGTAATTTAAAGAGATTCGGATGCTTATTTCGGATTTTATGATCGTTTCTGTTATTCAAAAATGTTGACACTTTGTGGGGGGAGGTACCAGAAGATATGGTCCGATCTCTACCATCTTTATAAGAGATCTTGTGTTGATGGAAATATGGAGATGTACCAAGTCTGAACGACATCGGATGTTAATTTCGCGTTTTATGGGCTTGATGAATACTCAAAATTTTGACCCTTTGTGGGGGAGGTATCAGAGGGAGTTGACCGATATATCCCATCTTCACACCAGACTTGGGGTTAATAAAAATATTGTGATGTGTGTAATTTGAAGAGATTCGGACGCTTATTTCTGATTTTATGACCGCTTCTGTTATTCAAAACTTTGAACCTTTGTGGGGGTGGTACCAGAAGATATGGTCCGATCTCTACAATCTTTATAAGAGATCTTGTGTTGATGGAAATATGGAGATGTGCCAAGTCTGAACGACATCGGATGTTAATTTCGCGTTTTATGGGCTTGATGAATATTCAAAATTTTGACCCTTTGTGGGGGAGGTACCAGAGGGAGTGGACCGATTTATCCCATCTTCACAGAACTTGGGTTAATAAAAATATTGTGATGTGTGTAATTTGAAGAGATTCGGATGCTTATTTCGGATTTTATGAATGTTTTGGTTATTCAAAAACTTTGACCCTTTGTGGGGGAGGTACCAGAAGAAATAGCCCGATCTCTACCATCTTTATAACATATCTTGTGTTGATGGAAATATAGAGATGCACCAAATCTGAATTGAATTGGATGTTAGCTTCGTGTTTTATGAGCTTCATAAATATTTAAAATTTTGACCCTTTATGGGGGAGGTACCAAAAGGAGTGAACCGATATATCCCATTTTCACACCAGATCTTGGGTTAATAAAAATATTGCGATATTTGTAATTTGCAGATAATCGGACTCTCACATCACATTTTATAAAAGTTATAATTATTCAAAATTTTGACCTTTTGTGGGGGAGGTACCAGAAAGAGTGCACTGATATGGTCCATTATCTCACCTGACCTAGCACTGATGCAAATATTTGGATTTGCAAAGTTGGATCAAAATCGGATTATTCTTTCTCTCTTTGTGCAGTAGAATATTTTCTTAGAAAATTGCAACCTTTTGTGAGGGTGGTACCAGAAGGAATGGACCGATCTCGACCATCTTTATAACATATCTTGTGTTTATGGAAATATTAATATGTGCCAATTCTGAATGGAATCGGATGTTAATTTCGCGTCTTATGAGCTTCATAGATATTCAAAATGTTGACCCTTTGTGCCAGAAGGAGTGGACCGATTTTGCCCATCTCCGGACTCGATCTAAGTTTAACAATGATATTACGATGTCCCAAGTTTGGATCAAATCGAATACATCCTTCGAGAGGTATCGTGCGCACTAGCCAGCCAGACAGACGGACGGACAGGCGGACGGACGGACATCGCTAGATCGACTCCAAATATTCTGAAACGGATATGGTGCAAAGAGATTTAGGGTCTAGAACCGTTATTTCGATGAGGCACGTTTTGGCCGAATCAAATGATATATACCCTCCCTCTCTAGCCATATGACTGAGGGTATAAAAATGCGCAATGAAAGCTCAAAGAATGATAACTTCCTCTCTGACCATATATTTACCCCACCAAAATAAAAAAAAAAAACTTTAACTCACCTTTCCTTGTCACAACATCCCATTTCTCTGGCGTGGTAACCAAAATCTGTGTTTGCTGCATTTCCGTTTTGGTCAATTGCATATCACCCGTCAACTCTCTGACCACAATGTTCAATTCTTTCAGACGTTTGGAAAAATTATCCACCATTTCGGAGGCTAAAGCTTTCATTGGTGCAATATAGACAATTTTAAATTGATCACGATTGATTATACCATTCTCCAAATGTTGACGTATGGTATGCACAATTGTTAGCATGGCGACATTTGTTTTACCCGCACCAGTTGGGGCGCAAACCAACATATTTTCATTGCTGTGATAGGCCACAGGATAGACCACCGATTGTATGCGATTGAGTTGTTTGCAATTGGCAAAAGCCATTTGACCAATCTCATCTAAGTCCGAAATGTTTATACGATTGTTGCCCACACTTAATGGTGGCGGTTCGGTTGCGGGTATTTTAACCTCTTCATATTGTCGATTGTCTGTGCGTTCCGCATTGTCAGGCAACGATATACGATTGCCACCGATAAAGCCGGCATGTTGTTTGGCCTCCAATTGACTATCGAAAACATAGGGATAACGTACTTGCGGTGGCAAGGTCGAACGAAAATCTTTCATATCCTGTGTACTCTTCAAGAGCGGTTGATGTTGGGCCACTTCCAACAAACGTTTTTGTTGTTGTAGGCGTAATTGCATGGGATTAAGAGCTTGCGCCTGATCGTTTTCCTCATTGTCAGAACGACCCAAACTTTGTATTAGACGTTGCATTTTTTTCTCCTCACGACGAGTTTGTTTACTAAGCTCTTTTTCCAGGGCCGACTGCACAACCACTTGTGAGGCAACTGTGGGACGCATTACCGTTCCGTTGGACATCTTGTTGGTGTGTTGTTTTTGCTGCAACTGCTTCGTACGTTTGTTGCGTTTTTCTTCCTGCTCCAACTCCTGCAGTTGCGTAGCAATTTTATTGCGATCCTTCAACACCTGTTGCACCAAGTCAAAATGATCAAAACCCAACAACTCAATGAGGTCATTTTGCAGCTCAATATTCGACTTTTTGGAATTCAATAGCTCGGTGAGGCTTATAATGTAATGTGATTGTTCTTCCTTTTGTGACATTTCCAAAAAGGTTTCCACAACTTTGTGATATTTGGAGTTTGAAGGCTCCATTTGATTCCACTGCATGGAAAAGCCCAGAGATGCCGCATTTTTATTTCCCGTATTAGGTGCTAAATTCATAAGATTACTCAGTTCTTCCAGTGGAAGATTCTGGAATTGCACTTTTATGTGGTCACCCCAAAGCATTTGACCCTTCCTTGCTTTACCCTTGCCCTTGTTCCAATCCTTTAACTCCTCCACCTCGTAATCTTCTAATAGTTCACGTATAGATCTTACTGTTTGGTGTATTATGGCCAGCCTGTTGCCGAATATGGTGCCAAATATGCTACGTATACGCATGGTGGCCGCCACAGTAATGACTTTCTGATCCAACATTAACCAAAAAAGAAACAAGGTGGCATGTTCAACCACCTTGGGCTGTTCGTCATAACCCATGCATTCTTGCACCAAATTCCTTAACTTTTGCAAATGTATTTTCGCCTGATCTTGCCTATCTGGCGGTATTTGCTTCAATACCTCTGCAATGGTTTGTTCTTTTTCACCTTGCCTTGAGAAAAGAAAAATGAAAACTGCTCTTAATATGGGAATCCCCTAAAAAACGCTGGTCAAGTACTTACGTTTTCAAAAACGAATTTCTTTCTTGGCGTTTTGAATCTTCTTCCTCGGTGTCAAGAGCGACTGGTAGTTTAGCTTCCAAATCGGTATTTGCCCGCAGTGCACCACTAAAACGCGGCAGATCCTTTTCTTTCAAGCGTTCAGACATTTCGCAAGTGATGTGGCTGCCTTTCGAATTCCTTTACTCTAATCTAACAGTGGCAGCAGATTTGGCGAATGCCACCGCACCTACTCCTACTAGGTATAACTTGCACAACCCAAGCCGCAAAACTTTGTACTGACATGCAATACACAACTGTTGAATATCCTTTTTTCGCTACGTTCATTCAATTCTACAAGTTTTTGTTTTTCTTTTGGGTTTCCAAACGTTGTGAAACTATTAATCTGCAAACTTCATTTGGGTTGGAACCAGTGTTGTGTAGTTCACCAAAGGCTCTCAATTGAACGATTCACTGAAATGAACTGCTGATCTAGTTCTCGCAAAATTGTTATTTTTTGCTCAGCCAACTAATTACAGCATTGCGGTTTGCAATACGAAACGAAATAGCAAATACAACAAGCAAATAAACGGTGAGACGGACGGACAGCATAGCAACAACACGAACCAAGAGTTTAGGCTGAAATAAACGCAATGGCACAAGCATGGTAGAAGAATATAGGTAGACGCGTCGACACAGCTGCTTGATCAATGAACTATCAAACCAATTTTGGAATTGAAAATGTTGAATGAAAAATTATTTAAATTTGTAAAAATTTTTGAAAAACGCGAATAATAATAGCCTCCGAATGACGTAGTATAAGAAAGTATATAAAAATCTACTTATATTTGAAAAAAAAAAAACATTTAATTTTTTTGGCATATCAATGCTCCCAAGCGTTGATGCATCTACCTGTATTCTTCTGCCATGGACACGAGTCGAGAATAACGTCATGTTCACATAAGAATTAAAATTTCGAACTAATCGTTTCTCTAACAAATTATGTTGAAATTTTTCCAAAAAAAATTGAAGAAAACATGCAAATATGGACAAAATAAGTTTCCTCCTTTTGTGAAATGTTGTTTTTGAAGGCTCTATCAGGCGATAGGGTTTTACATATGTAGTGTCAAATTTTCCCTATGTAGAAGTTGCACACATCGTGTGATACATGGATGACATGTCAGTTGTAAAATACATGAGTAAAATAGATATGTACTTTTTCGATCACTGATGAGGGTTCCATTAGAAGCTTGGCATCACAGCTAGGTATATTAATTTCAATTTATAACGGGAAACGACGGCAGGATTCGAGTGCGTCTCTGGCATTACTTTATGATATGTAACAAAATGTGCCAGGCAAAGACTTCAAGCTGCTTATATATCCTCACCTTTATCGTCTGATATCAGCTGTAGCAAGGTAGTTCTCTCAGAGCTACCAGCTGATTAATTTTTTTTTTCTAAGTGTGCCCGACATTTGCCGATTGTGTGTATGTATTTATTTTTGTGATAAAACAGCCAGTACCAGATTTTATGATGCCCTGCACCCCTTTGCATATTTAGTAGAGCTTCACATAACAAAAAAATAGGCATTTGTGCCTATCCAAATCGGGCTTATATTATCCATTTGGTGCACAATAAATTTGAAATCGGATAAAGATATATATGGGAGCTATATCCAAATCTGAACCGATCTCGATAAAATTTGGCAAAAGTATTTTTGAACCGCGTTTGATATATTTCCCCGAATATCGTTGTTACGAAATCGAATGAACAATATATATGGGAGCTATAGCTATATCACATCCGATTTCGATCAAATTTGGCATACTTATTTCCAGGCTTAATTTGCTCGTCTGTGCAAAATTCCACACTATTTCGGCTGATATTACACGTTTGGTGCAAAATTAAAATCATATTGGACGAAGGTTTATATGTCTAAATTTTTACCGATTATCTCCAATTTCAATAGTGTTCATCCTTGGATCCGGCAATAAATATGACCTTTACTTTGTTTATAATGACATGACAGATGAACAGATTGGAAGAAACGTACATTGCGGGGCGCGTGCGGAGCTGTCCTAACACCTTATTTTATCATGCGTGAAATGATAATTTTCTCTATTCTTAAATTTAATTAAATGTGTTCTTTGATTTATTAGTAGGCAGAATGAGCTTGTTGAGTAAATTCTCCGATTAAGAAATAGTAGCATCGCTTCCAGTTGATATTGAAGGATTGTTATCTAATTCGGATATGTTTTATAGTTTTTCATTTCCGCACTGTTTGGTTAAGAAGCTCTCTCAGAGATTATGTAATATTACTCTTCTTTGCTAGTTTTACTATTAAAAAAACTACTGGAACAAAATAAATATTAGCAATAAGTAAAGCTACAAACAAAAAAGACTCACGTAGTCTAAATCACCCTTAATACATTTTAGAGTGTGATTTAAAACAACATAGTTGAGCGAAACATTTTGTGCCGCCTTCATTCCTCGTATTACTCGGCTCATTATCAATGGCCGTCGATAAACAACATATATTAATGGCTTTACAAGCGCCGGCATTTTCATCAAGCCATTTTTGCAACCGGCATCACAATTTGGCGTCATTCAAATAATCCTTTGTTGTGTGATTGTGTGAGGGCAGTTTAACGAAAGTTGAAGACAGGCGAAGGTGGTGATAAAGTTCCAGAGAAACATTGTAAAGAGGTGGAAGATTTTTTTTGTTGTTTTGAAAAAGTTTGAAATTGAAAAAAATACTGTACCAAACGACAAATAAAACTATCAAGAGTAAGAAATAAATAAAAAACGAATGAAAAGTTGAAAAAATATATAAAATTTTCTTACAATTTAGGCAGAATTTTTTTTCGCTGGTATTCTCCCGAAGTGAAGAAAAAAATCTGTATAAAGCGAAAGGAAAACAAAGCGTAGTTGTAAGAGCGCGAAAATAAGTGAAGAAGAAGCCAAGTCAACGCCAAATAATCAACGGACGCTTGTGGTGGCTGTCCAATAACTAGCGCAAACCAATATATAAACAAAGGCAAAAAAAATACAACAAAAATGGCAGATACAAAAGTAGAATCCTCTGGTGATTATGATATTTCTTCATCTGAGGAAGGTTCATCGTCACCTGTGACAGCAGCTGTACCGAAAAAACGCGGACGCGAGGCAGCTACCACGGAAAATGGAAAACCCAAAAGACCGGTTGGCCGTCCGAAATCTGCCAAAAAGAACAGTACCGTTATTGTAGCCACGGGCAAGGGACGCGGCCGTCCAAAGAAAATTCCGGTTAATAATGACGACGATGTTTCTGATGTCGATGACGACGATGATTCAAGTGATGCCGCTGTTTCAGCTAAGAAGGCGAAAGTTGAGACCAGTAAACCGTCTAAGTCGGGTCGAGGCCGTGGTCGTCCAAGGAAGGTCAAGAATAGTGATGATGAGAGTAAGTTATTTTGTATTTTTTTTATTGACTCGAGTGGAAGTACGTTTTTCTAGTGGGATATTTCAAATACTGGCATTATTTGCAGTTAGGGTTCTATTCTAAGAGATTTATTTATATAAATAATGTCTAATGCCCAAAATAAGTTTGGATATTTGGGATTTGCCGAATTTAATGTTAGCCCTCGAACTTGAATAAATTCAAATTCGCCAACGCGTATAGACTCCATTCTGCCTTACACTCCACTCTATGTCTTAAGAATCTGCTAAAAAGAACAGCATTGTTATTGTAGGATCGGGCAGGGGACGCGGTCGCCCAAGAAAAACTCCCATCAGTAACGACGAGGATGTGTCTGATGCTCAAGGAAATGATTATTCAAGTGATGCCGCCGAATCAAATGTTGAAGCCAGTAAGTCATTAACGGGTCGGGGACGAGGTCGTCCAAGAAAAGTCCAAAATAGTGGTGATGAGAGTAAGTGATGTTTATTTCTTTTTCAATGAGAGGTCCCATTAACCCAAAACTTAACTCAACTATTTAATTGTAGTTAGTCTAACTAAAAATATCCATTCGTGGCAATTGCATGAAATGTTCCATTGACACGTAAATGTCTTTGGGATCTAAAGACAGAATCCAAAGTTGTATTCATCTCATAACACAGAAGGTGTGTACTCTCGTTAGCAAAGGGAATGGTATTTTGAAGGCATTGGGAAGTCTAGACTTTCAAAGAGAAGTTCTATAGTAATCCATTATGAGGATAGAGTTTTCTACTCCTTGGAATGGGGCGATGGCATACCAAGAGTTCAATTGACTGTCTCCACCCTGAAGCGACAGCGTTACTGTAGGATTCCAATACCAGACTTGGGGTTAGTTTGCATCTCTACTACATCCAGATGTTGTGGACCGCGTTTGAACGTTTTTTTATCCTCAGCCATATGGCTACAGAGGGTATATATAATGTGATACGGCCAAAACGTGCCCAATCGAAATAAAGGTTTTAGACCTAGGTATGTTTGGACATTTGGAGTCGATCTAGCGATGTCCGTCCGTACGTCTATCTGTCTATGTGACTGGTTGGTGCTCACGATAACTCTCGAAGGGAGTATCCAATTTGATCCAAACTTGGTACATCGTAATATTATAGTCAAACTTAAAACGAGTCCGGATATAGGCAATATCGGTCCACTCCTTCTGGTACCTCCCACACAAAATGGCAACATTTTCAAATAAAATAATTTATTGCACACAAAGAGAAAGGATAATCCGATTTTGCTCCAACTTTGCGAATCCTACTATTTGCATCAATGCTAAATCAGGTGTGAAAATGGACAATATCGGTCCACTGCATCAAGTACCTCCCCCACAAAGGGTCAATATTTTGAATAATTAGAACTCTTATAAAATTTGATGTAAGTGTCCGATTGTCTTCAAACTACACCAATCACAATATTTTTAATAATCCAAGGTCTGGTGTGAAGATGGAATAAATCGGTTCACTTCTTCTGGTACCTCCCCCACAAAGGTTCAACATTTTGAGTAACCATGAAGCTCATAAAACGTGAAATTAACCCCCGATTCCATTCAGACATAGCACATATTAATATTTCCATCAACACAAGATCTGTTATAAAGATCGTACAGATCGGACCATTCCTTCTTGTACCTCCCCCACAAAGGGTCAAAGTTTTGAATAACCAAAACAATCATAAAATCCAAAATAAGCATCCGGTTCTCTTCAAATTACACACATCACAATATTTTTATTAACCCAAGGTCTGGTGCGAAGATGGCATATACCGGTCCACTCCTTCTGGTACCTCCCCCACAAATGGTCAAAATTTTAAGAAACTATGAAATTAACATCGATTCCATTCAGACTTGGCACATCTCAATATTTCCATAAGCACAAGATCTATTTCAAAGATGGTAGAGATGGGACCATTCCTTCTTGTACCTCCCCCACAAAGGGTCGAAGTTTTGAATAACCAAAACAATCATAAAATCGAAAATAAGCCTCTGGATCTCTTCAAATTACACATATCACAATATTTTTACTAACCCAAGGTCTGGTGAGAAGATGGGATATACCGGTCCACTCCTCTAAGGACCTGCAACTGATCCATACTTCATGCTGACTTTTAATTTCCATTAAATGACCTTTTTTAATTTATAAGACTTGGTCCTTTTACAAACTCCACCATTTTCAATTTCGGATCTAAGGAGGGAGGAAAAATATTGTTGTGTGTGGGACTGTTGCCGAAAATGGACTACATATTTTGTGTATCTATATACATATAATATTACCCTACAATTTTAAGTGTTTTGGGTGTTTGAATTTCCAGAGTGTTGATTCTAAACTCACCAGGTCCAATTTTTGATAGAGATCTCATGAAGTGGCAGGATATTTTGGGTGTTTAAGGCATAATTTTCAAACAAAGTGTTTGTAATCCATCGTCTTGGTAAGCTGTGACCTGAAAATTCGCAAACGATTAACGTTTCGACTTTAATCCCATAAATAGCGGGTTCGATTTTGAATGTTTTAAGGACGTAACTGTTGTGGCCAAAAGATCTACTGCTAAGGTGGCTTTTCGGATTTCTTACATTCTAAAATTGTTTAAATGTTGGGTTTCAAATCTCCTTTTGGGCATCTTTTCCCATTCGATCGTTATATTTATACCAGGTCCGGACATTGTGGATGACATTGACTTTCTACCTCCAACTAAATTTTCACATTCAATACCTATATTCGTCATATTCATTCGGTTTCCTGTTGTTTTCTAGGTTCCGATGATAAAATGGACGACGACGAAGTCAAAAATCCACCTGGACGCCCCTCTTCCGGCGGTGTAAATCTCAACATTTCACGCTCTGGCCGTGGACAAGGACGTCCACGAAAAGATGTTGCTGCTAAAAAAGAAAATGGCTCTGCTGATGATGTTGCTACTGCTCCCAAGAAACGTGGTCGGAAACCGGGTTCAGGCGCCAATAAACCTAAACCTGCAGCGGGCGGTACTGGAAGAGGACGTGGCAGGCCACCAAAAAATGCCGCTGCCAAGAAAGACGAGAAAAATGATGAAAAAGATGAGGATCTAGACGATGAAGAAGATGAGGAGAAACACAAGGACGACGATGATGAGGAGGAGGAAGACAACGTCTCAAATAAAGACGACAAAGAAGAGGAGGTGGACAAAAATAACGACAATGATGCCGAACAGGTTGACAGCGACTAAACAAAAAAAAGTAGTGGTGGGACAAAATCAGTATGCCTATATTTTAAGAAAGAACAAACAAAAAACAATACTGTATTATTATTATAATGTGTTTTCGATTCAATCGCGACTAGTAGTCCCGCCGTCACCAAGTTATCAATTTCCTCCTGGGGGACTACCGTAAAAAACATCACTTTCTCCACATCATCAAATCGATAGCGCGAACACATGAAATTTATCAAGTAATGTCTTTATAAGAAACTATTTTAGATAAGTTTTAACACAAATGAGCGGAAAAATTAATTTCATTTTGTTTTTTCTTTTGAAGAAAATCAAAAGACAAAAACAAATACTCTTTCTTCTTTTATGAGGGAAAAACTTCATTATAATTCCATAATTTATTGAAATTAAATGGTTTGTGTTTATTTTCATAATTTTCATAAAGAGAAAACCATTTTTCAAATTTATGCTACGTATCATCATAATCCAATGACAGAAAATTCGTTCAGGACGCTGATTTTGCATTTCAACATATAGTATGTATAGTTTTTTTTTTAAGAAATTTCTTAATGAAGTTTTGAACAACTTAATTCTAAAGAAATCCATTAAATGTAGAAAATAAACAAATATTGACAAAAATATATCAGAAGAACCCTTAAACGATGTTCTATATTTGCATTACATGGGAAATGAGGAAGTGGCATACAGAAACAACAATCCAGTAAGGTTGGGTGAGAGTGATTTAAATGTGCAAGCGGGAATGGATCTAATATGTGAGATCTATATATTAATCTGCAACTAACTTCAGACTGCTGTCATTTCTAAGCCACTCGTCCGACAGCTGATAAATTTATTCCTGTGACAGCCCATTATATTGTTTACAAGCGTATAAAATCATTTTTGCGAGAATTTTCCAGAAAAAAAGTTTTTCGTGATGGAATTCAAGCGTGATAGTGTGATTTCTTTATATTTGGCTGTAAGACCACAAGTGGATATCGTTAGAGCACTCCAGCATTTAAATGTAAATAAATCGTTTGTGTCTCATATCATCGCTCGTTACCGTGATACTGGTAGTATAGCCCGTCGGCAAGGAAGTGGACGTAAGAAAAAGTGCAAGAACTTACACCGCAACAGAAAGAAAATAGACTCAAAAGAGCTAAAGAGTTGCCTCGCTTGGATGAAAGTAGTGAACTGCCGAATTTGGTTTTTTCCGATGAGAAAACATTCGTTGTCCAGCAGTTTGTAAACAAACAAAATGATCGTGTTTCTTACTTGGCAAAGAGGTCAGCTTAAAATGTGCACTTTCGGTTGGCCACCAGATCTCAAGCGCCTGGGCCACCATACCACCGTGGCATCAGAATAAATGCCGAATATTAACGCGAAAATATTATGGAGGGTGTATTAAAGCCTTGGGCACGCAAATATTTTGGCCGCACACCTTGAACATTCCAACAGGACTCAGCACCATCGCACTCAGGACGCGCCACACAAGAATGGTTAAAAAATGAAGTTCCTCGCTTCATTTCCAGCGCACAATGGCCACCAAAATCTCCGGATACCAATCCGTTGGACTATTGTCTCTGGATTTTTTTAGAAAGCAAGGTTTGCACTAAAAATCACCAAAGCGTCGACCACCTCAAACAAGCGCTTCGCCGGGAACGGGCCAAAATACCGCAGAGCGTGTGACGATTTCATTGGCCGTTTGAAAGCCATAATTCGTGTCAAAGGTGACCAAATCTAAACTTATTCTAAAATTTGATGCTATTTCCGACATTTTTTGCTTTCATTCAATAAAATTATGGCGTTTGACTTTGTTGCAGCTTTTTCGTCCCACCCTGTATTTAATGTTTTGAAGAACAAAAATAAAATATTTTCAAAATCTATAATTGGAAGAAACGTACATTGCGTGGCGCAAAATGTAAATTAATAATAAAAGATGTAACATTTTATTCTTTCGCGCTATGAAACTCCTATAAAAATGAGAAAATTCTGACAGAAAGATGGCATAGCCTCAGGACTGTATTTCAGTACTTTTAAAGAGCTGTACTAACACCTTATTGTATCATGCGTAAAATGAGAACTTTTTTTTTTAAATTCATCTTGTTATCGTGATTTATTAGTAAGTAGATTGAGCTTTTTGATCAATTTCTTCGATTAAAAAATAATAGCATGGTATGCAGCTTCTGATTGGCTAAAATGTTGATTTTGAAGGATAGTTATCTAATTCGGATATGTTTTATAGTTTTTCATTTCCGCACTGTTTGGTTAAGAAGCTCTTTCAGAGATTATGTAATATTACTCTTCTTTGCTAGTTTTACTATTAAAAAAACTACTGGAACAAAATAAATATTAGCAATAAGTAAAGCTACAAACAAAAAAGACTCACGTAGTCTAAATCACCCTTAATACATTTTAGTGTGTGATATAAAACAACAAAGTTGAGCGAAACATTTTGTGCCGCCTTCATTCCTCGTATTACTCGGCTCATTATCAATGGCCGTCGACAAACAACATGTATGAATGGCTTTACAAGCGCCGGCATTTTCATCAAGCCATTTTTGCAACCGGCATCACAATTTGGCGTAATTCAAATAATCCTTTCAAGGTAGATGTACTAGGTAATCGCATCAGCCCAGCTGACGGCACCATTAAATGTCAAAACAAATTGTTGTAATGATGAATTCGCCCTAAATGAATGCAACAACAAATTTGTTTATGTTGTCTTCCCTAAAAGTACCTTAATAATTTAAAAGCTAGTTTAGAGTGAAACCAGTAAAAAAAGTTAAAAGAAAATGAAGGAAGGAGGTTAGAATGGAGTGCAGCTTTACGAATTAAGTTAGCCTCAACATCTAAGATTCCCAAAGCACATCAAGGAATTCGACTCTTGCCATTTGCAGTTCCGGAAAACTTTCGGTTTAAACCAGAAAAATATAGTCATTATAAGTTTCTTGGTTTAAAAAATATCGCAATACTACAATTAATATTATTAATATTAATACTTATTTACTCTTATTTGTTTTACAATAAAAACTTTTATTGCGACATTCGTTTACGACGAGAGGCACACAAAATAAAATGTAAACAAACACCTCGTTTCTGATTGGTTGAAACAAATTTGCTGCAACCTTTAAATGTCATGGCGAATCTATGTTTTTCGCCTTAGATGCCAATTTTGACATTTGAGGGGACCACAAAAGTTGCTTTGTTGTAGCAATTCGCCGATGCGGTTACCTGTTAGATCTACCTTGAATCCTTTGTTGTGTGATTGTGTGAGGGCAGTTTAACGAAAGTTGAAGACAGGCGAAGATGGTGATAAAGTTCCAGAAAAACATTGTAAAGAGGTGGAAGATTTTTTTGTTGTTTTGAAAAAGTTTAAAATTGAAAAAACTACCAAACGACACATAAAACTATCAAAAGTAAGAAATAAATAAAAAACGAATGAAAAGTTGAAAAAAATATATAACATTTTCTTTTAAATTAGGTCCTCAGTTGAGAACTATAGGTCGATTGCCAAATTTTGACCATTTTTAGGTTTTGGGTCCAATTAAATAAAAAATATTTTGTGATAATCTTTCATAACAATACGTTTATATATATATTCGTTTCTATTTATATATTTTACAATACAGGGTTGCCCATATTCGACGGACCCATCTGGCAACGCCATAACTTTTGACAGAGATGTCACATCGCTTAATGACATACCGCGTTTGAAGCGTCAGTCCAAGCTGATTTTTACCATGAACAAATACACGCCACGCGAGCGCTCTGAAATAGTTGAAATTTACATTCAACAGGAGAGGTCAATTGTGAAAACTCAACGAGCTTTTAAAACATTAAAAAATGTGAGAAGTGCGCCTTCTAAGAACACCATTAAGCGTTTATACGAACAATTTTCGACTGGTAAGGCTCTTTCTAATCCGAAGAGGCCATATAAAAGTCGACCAAGGCGATCGGCCGAGAATATCGCTGCCGTACGAGCCAGTGTTGAGAGGTCCCCAGAGAGTAAGTGATTTTTTATTGTCAATGAGAGGTCCCATTAACCCAAAACTTAACTCAACTATTTAATTGTAGTTAGTCTAACTTAAAAGATCCATTTGTGGCAATTGCATGAAATGTTCCTTTGACATGTAAATGTCTTTGGGATCTTAAGACAGAATCCAAAGTTGTATTCATCTCATAACACAGAAGGTGTGTACTCTCGTTAGCAAAGGGAATGGTATTTTGAAGGCATTGGGAAGTCTAGACTTTCAAAGAGAAGTTCTATAGTAATCTATTATGAGGATAGAGTTTTCTATTCCTTGGAATGGGGCGATGGCATACCAAGAGTTCAATTGACTGTCTCCACTCTGAAGCGACAGCGTTGCTGTAGGATTCCATTACCAGACTTGGGGTTAGTTTGCATCTCTACTACATCCAGATGTTGTGGACCGCGTTTGAACGTTTTTTTTATCCTCGGCCATATGGCTACAGAGGGTATATATCATGTGATACGGCCAAAAAGTGCCCAATCGAAATCGGTTTTAGACCATAGGTATGTTTGCACCAAATCCGTTTCAAGACATTTGGAGTCGATCTAGCGATGTCCGTCCGTACGTCTATCTGTCTATGTGACTGGTTGGTGCTCACGATAACACTCGAAGGGAGTATCCAATTTGATCTAAACTTGGTACATCGTAATATTATTGTCAAAATTAAAACTAGTCCGGATATGGGCAATATCGATCCACTCCTTCTGGTACCTCCCACACAAAAATGGCAACATTTTCAAATAAAATAATTTACTGCACACAAAGAGAAAGGATAATCCGATTTTGCTCCAACTTTGCGAATCCTACCATTTACATCAATGCTAAATCAGGTGCGAAAATAGACAATATCGGTCCACTGCATCAAGTACCTCCCCCACAAAGGGTACATTTTGAATAATTAGAACTCTTATAAAATTTGATGTAAGCCTCCGATTGTCTTCAAATTAAGAACATCACAACATTTTTATTAACCCAAGGTCTGGTGTGAAGATGCAATAGATCAGACCACTCTTTCTGGCAGCTCCCCCACAAAGGGTTAACATTTTGAATTTTCATGAAGCTCATAGAACGTGAAATTAACATCCGATTCCATTCAGACCTTGAACATCTCGATATTTCCATAAGCACAAGATCTGTTATAAAAATGGTAGAGATCGGACCATTTCTTCTGGTACCTCCCCCACAAAGGCTCAACATTTTTGAATAACCAAAGCGATCATAAAAACCGAAATAAGCGTTCAGTTCTCTTCAAATTACACATAACGCTATATTTTTATTAAACCTGGGTCCGGTGAGAAGATGGGTTATACCTGTCCACTCCTTCTCCCCCACAAAGTGTCAAAATTTGGAGTAACCATGAAGCTCATAAAACGTGAAATTAACATCCGATTCCATTCAGACTTGGTACATCTCAATATTTTCAAAGGCACGAGATCTATTTTGAAGATGTTAGAGATCGGGTCATTCCTTCTGGTACTTCCCCCACAAAGGGTCGAAGTTTTGAATAACAAAAACGATGATAAAATCCGAAATAAGCAAATAAGCTCTCTTCAAATTACCCACATCACAATATTTTTAATAACCCAAGGTCTGGCGTGACGATAGAATACATCGGTTCAATCCTGGTAGCTCTCCCATAATTGGTCAAAATTTTGAATAATGATGAAGCTCATGAAACGCAAAATTAACATCCAATTCCATTCAAACTTGACACATCTCAACATTTCCATAAGCATAAGATCTGTTATAAAGATGGTAGAGATCGGATTATTCCTTCTTGTACCTCCCCCACAAAGGTTTGAAGTTTTTTATATTACTGTACAATTTTAAGTATTTTGAGTGTTTGTGTTTCCGAAGTATAGAAGCTATGATCACTTGGTCCAAGTTTTGGCAGAGATTTCATGAAGTGGCACCTCTCGATATAGGATATTTTGGGTGTTTAGGGCATAATTTTTAAACAAAGTGTTTGTTACCCGTCGTCTTGGTAAGCTGTGCCCTGAAAATTCGCCATCAATTAACGTTTCGACACTAGCCTCATAAAAATAGCGGTTTCGATTTTAGATGTTTTAAGTACGAAGCTATTGTAGCCAAAAGATCTACAGCTAAGGTGGCTTTTCGTATGTCTTACATTCTAAAATTATTTAAATGTTGGGTTTTAAATCTCCTTTCGGTAACTTTTCCCATTCGATCGTTATATTTATACCAGGTCCGGGCATTGTGGGTCTGTAGATGACATTGAATTTCTAGCCCCAACTTAATTTTGCCATTCAATACCTTTATTCGCTATATTCATTTTGTTTCTTTTTGTTTTCTAGGTTCCGATGATAAAATGGACGACGACGAAGTCAAAAATCCACCTGGACGCCCCTCTTCCGGCGGTGTAAATCTCAACATTTCACGCTCTGGCCGTGGACAAGGACGTCCAGGAAAAGATGTTGCTGCTAAAAAAGAAAATGGCTTTGCTGATGATGTTGCTGCTACTGCTCCCAAAAAGCGTGGCCGGAAACCGGGTTCAGGATAAAAAACATCACTTTCTGATAAAAAGCGGGTATTGTTTCTGGTCCGTATTTCTGTATAAATATTACCGATATCTGATATAAATATTACCGATTGGACCGAAGTATTCCACGTTATCGAATACTGATAAAAATATTTGGATGTGCTAATTTGAAGAAAATTAGACACCCCCAACCAATTTTTGGGAGTAATTTTTTATTTGTATTTTTAACTATTTTTGGGGGGAGGGGGTACCAGAAGGAGTGAACCGATAAATTCCATATTAGCCTCAGATTTTTGATTGAGAAAAAAATTAAATAATTATAAAAAGAATCGCCGAGTTGTTTCGCAAGTTATGAACCTTTTCGGGAAAGATAACAGAAGGGGTAGCCCGATATCTACCAGATCTTGTATTCATAAAAATATTGCGATTTATGAAACTTGAAGAGAAGCGATTGCTATTTTCGCATTTTATGAGAGCCTTCATTATTTGAAAAAAAACCGTTGTGGGGGAGGTACTAGAAGGAGTGGTCCGGTATTTTCCATCTTCACACCAGATCTTGTTTTAGTAGAAATATGGAGATGTGTGAAATTTGAAGAGAATCGGACTCTTAGTTCAAATTTTATAAGAGTTTTCATTATTCCAAATGTTGACCCTTTGTGGGGGAGGTACTTGATAGAGTGGTCCCATATTGTCTATTTTCGCACCTGACCTAGCATTGATGCAAATATTAAGAATTGCAAAGTTGGAGCACAATCGGATTATCATTTTTCTTTCTGTGCAGTAAATTATTTTCTTTGAAAATGTTAAATTTTGTGTGGGAGATATCAGAAGGAATGGACTGATATTTCCCATCTCCGAACTCGATCTAGCTAGCGGACATAGCTAGATCGACACCAAATGTCCCGAAACGGATTTGGTCCTAGGGTCTAAAACCGTTATTTCGATAAACACACTTTGGTCGCATCAAATGATTAGTCTGTTCCAGGCCTCCAAAAATACAGAAAGTGCAAGAATCTACTAGTTTTGCAATTTTTTCGATATCATCAAGGTCAAATCGGTTATCGTTGTAAAATTCTTCCAGTTCTGGAACAGACCAATAACCAACTTTCCCTTTATGATATCGAAAAATTTTTTTTCACATTCCTGCAGTTCTGGAACAGTGCAACAGGAGGCGAAAACCAATGTGAAAATCAAAACGTTTCTGTCTCAGCGTATCAAAGTTTTCTCTCACTTTAAATAAATTTATTGTCAGAGTATTTGTGGAATGTTCAAGAATCTGCAAGAATCTATTTTTACTGCGATAACCAATATTTCCGTTATGATATCGAAAAAATGCAAAAATAGTAGATTCTTGACACTATTGCTCTTTTGCAGAACATGCAATAATCTACTAGTTTTGCATTTTTTTCGATATCATAAAGCAAAAATCGGCTATCGTAGTCAAAACTTTACCATTCTTGCAGTTCTGGAACATACTATATAGGACTTCAGTACATGGTTGTATTTTTCCTAGTTGAAGTTAAGAAACCTTTCTTATTGAGCCATAATATAAAAGGTGTGGTTAAAAAATAGTTTTTGAAAAAAATCATATAGCTCGATAGATTCCTTTTCTTCTTTTAGAACTAACGTTTCTTTTCCGTGTGCAATTTACCTTTTAATAACAGAATTAACAAAAAAATTTTCTTCAAAACCGCTTCGCTTCACACTTCCTTTCTACATTTATTTTAATGACGACGGTAACCCTACCTTTAGTTCAAATTGAATAATTCGTTATCGTTCTTAACTATCAATAGCACCATCGACATCGTTAGCCATCGATTATTCCGAGCAATCAATTTGATTCCTCACCGCAAAAGTCGACTTAGTTCTCCCTAATTCGCAGCGGAAAAAGTCTTGTAAATCGGACACAAAAAAATAAATAAAGAATTACAGAAAATATTCACATTGTAGATGATTCCGTTTTTCTTCTGCAATTTTCCGTGAGCGTATTCGAGTCAAACAAACTAACAATCGACCAAAATGTGTTCTGTCGCGACAACAAATCCAAAAAGAAAATTAATCGAATAAGCAGGCAATTGTAGTAGTTGATGTTTGGTTCTTTTGCAAGGAGACCGCAAATAAGAAATAATTCTAATTAGCATCCAAGCAGAGCCAAATCAAGTGTGTAAAGAAGCAGCGAGCGATACTAAAGGTGTGTGTTTTGTTTAATAAAACAAAAACTAAATGAAAATCAATTGTAGAATATTAAATAAGAGTACTGCAATTAGAGGTGCCTGAAAAAAATGTGTAATTCTTGAAGGAGAAAAAACTCCCTTTTGCGATAGACCCCCACATTTTTTGTTTGTCTTTTATTTCGTTTCATGTTTTTTTTGTTACTAAAGTGCGGCAAAACACATGTAAGTGTGTGTGAGTGTGTATGTGTGTAAACAGTAACTGCGACAGTGGCAGCAGAAATAGCAAAAGAGAACAACGAAAAACAAAGCAAAACACCAACAACTACTGTAAACAGAGTCTTTGCAAGTCAACTCATCATTTAAATTCATGAAATAGTTTGCTGTAATTTGATAATAAACTGTATTTACTAATTATGTTTTATTAGACAAACGTCGTTTCCCTGTGAAAAGTTCTCATTGTGCTCTTTTAGTTGTGATATCTGTGTGTGTGTGTTCTGTGTAAAATGCATTTCATGCAGCATAAATATGTGTGAGAGAGAATATGCAAAAACTCCTTCCAATGAGAAAGAACTTTGCCATGCAATGAGAACGTATATATTACAGTAATCGATTATAAATGTTGATGATTTTATTCGATTAAAGTCATATCCAACTAACAAGCAATGACAGTTCAAAAAAGAAAATTAACCGCCTTTTTTAAGAAAGCTGCTTGTTAATAATTTTAATATGAGAATAAATATTTAACGTCTTCTTCATCCACTATTCAATGGAGGGGTGACAACTTGTACAGAATGAAGCTCACTCCTCGTTAGTAAATGTTAAGAAATTCTTGGAAGTTTTATTTGATTTGTAAAGATCCAGTAAAAATGTTTCATTTTTCAGAAAGAACACTTTTGAAACAAAGCAATTGCAAAACTGAATTAAAAAAGATAGGAAAAATATGGAGTTTAAAACTTGGACATCGGCTTGATTGATATTTTATACAGCTGAATCTTCGAATTATAACGTACCTACCCATATAACCCATATAACAACGTTTTGTACATAACTGAAGAATGCAAGGGTAATTACGGAGCATTGGAAGTCAATGTCTAAGTTCTAACTACAGTCATAAATCTTAAGGTGTGAGTTGGGCAAGTTTAGCACGGCTATTGAAAATATGCAGATGTGTATATGGAATATATGCAATTGTGCATCGTGTAACCACATGCTGTGAGGATGTTCTGCACAATACGAATTGAAAGTACTGAACCATTCCATAGGAATTAAGAGGCTTCACCTTTCTAGACGCAGCTGGGATAAGAAGAAAAACAAATTGTTTTACCTAGTCAAACGAGGTTCTTCATCTTTCACTGATTGTGTTGGCCTCCAACGACGGTATACTGTATTGTTTAGGACCGATGAATGGTACTCCGACCTTAGTGATGAACTTCTTGATCTAGATACTCCAACATCTGATAAAAAGTGTAGCCCTTAAATTCGTTCTAAAAGAAGACTACAAACTAGTTGTGTCCTTGACCACTGACAAAGCCCGAAGAGAAATTCGGCACTACCTCCCCCCCCCCCCAATTGTTTGCTGCAACATTGTCATTGAGATTTCGTGCGGATCGAACGTTTTGGATGTTTCAGTCGTTCGTAAACTGTGGTTGTTTTTGTAGCATATGGATGTTTGTATTCAGCTAATCTGGTAAAAGCTCCAGGTTTAACAATTCGGCTACTTAAACGGACCAGTGAATCGTATCGTATCGGAATCGTATACCTAACTAGGGATTACATGAAGAATCCTATACCTAAGAATGAAAAAATTGAAGAACCCCTCTCCCAAGAGAAGGTCGTTTAAAGAAAGGGGTTTTAGAGGGCCTAAAATGGTTATATTTTCCCAAAATAACGTTACTTTTGAGTAGGTACTCTAGAGAAAGATCACTTTTAGCACTCTTTTCCTATGAAAGGGTTCCTGAAGAAGCCTCCATTTAATAGGATTTATCTAGGAAAGGTTTTTTGAAGCACTCTTCGCTGTGAAAATAACCCGATTGTTCAAGACAACGAATTTAGGCATTTTGAGGCAGACTTTCCCTTATACCTTGAACTATACATTCCTTGACCTCCTTTCCATAGGAATTTTTTTTGAAGGACCTAACCAACTGATTCCTTGAAAAAAATTGTCCCCATTAAAGGATGGTCCCCATTAATGTACACTTTTCATGAGAAAAAGCATTCTTGGAGGAATATGGGTTCTAGAAAGGACTTTTCGCCATTTTGAAACTGGTTAGCTGCTGCAGTTTTAGCCTAAAAAGATTTTTGTTAGGATAAGAATTTTTAGGTATTTTGAGGCATCTTTTCCTTAATAACTTGAACCATTCTTTCCCTGATCTCCTTTCCTTAAAAGGTTTCCTTAAAGGACCTAACCTTTACGAAATGGTTACTTGAGGAACTTTCTCGCACTTTTTTCCACTAAAGGGTAACTTAAAGTACACTTTTCACGAGAAGAGGTTTGTTGGAGGACCCAATGCCTAAAGAAGGGTTCTGTGGAGGACTTTTTCCGTAAGCAAGTACATCTTGAAATAGGTTGCCTGAGCGAGCTGCTTAAAGCATCCTTATAATGAGAAACGCTTCTTTGTTGGAATTGTCGGGTTAGGTTAAAGAAAGCAGCTGACTCAATGACAACTGCTTTACTGATAGACACACTGGTACAATGTGTTCATTATAAACAGAAAAAAGAAAGGAAAAGAGAAAGAGCATTTTTTTCTAATCCATGTTGAGAGATATTATCTTCTCGTTTTTAGACAATTTAATCTTCTATCTAATTGAAGTACAACTGCCAGTTTTTAGGCGAATAATGTGTTCTTCCAAGTCTATACCTAACACCGAAGTGAGTTGGTCAGTGGGAGGGTTAAAGGGTTGATCGTTTCAGTTTCCTGCTCGTCTTGCCGAAACATGTGGAAGATATTGTCCTGTTGTTGTC